AATTGTTTGATTTGCAATTACTTTTGTTTTAAAATTCTTGAATTGCAATAATAATATTCTTCGGTTTTTTTTGAAACTTAATCTGATATCCATTATTTTTATTGAAGGTTTCAATGAGTTTAATATTAACTGAGTGTCCTATGTGCACTAAATGTAATTGTTAAAGTATATGTTAGACAATAGTGCATTATGAGTAGATAGTTTTGTAAACTAGTAGACTTTAAAATAACTGACAATTTAGTTTAGCAGTGACAACGAAATTTTCTTTAAATTTTCTTTATTTTCTTTTTTCTCTTTTAATTGTTTTTTATTGGTTTCTAAAATTGATGATTGACAATTTAAATGAGAGTTAGATTGTACTTTTACAAGGGCACTCACATGGAGAGTTAATGATGTTGTAACTAATAATGCATATATGGAGACTACATTTGAGGAGTAGCACTATCCTTGGAGGATGGGAGTGTGTCCAACTGGCCACAGATTTGTTTACTGCCTATGTTGCACTGTGGGTCATATGGGGTGATTTGTGTCTTGGCAGGTACTGCGGATTCGCGGACACATTATACGACTGTAGGTCGGGGAGTCAGGTCATGACTCCTTTTCACAACCATGGATAAGTCTTTGTGGAGACAGTCCATGACGCCCACTGTTATAAATCACGGTGTCGTTGGTTAAACGGCTTGGGAGTGTATACAGTGGCGTCTTACTTGCACAGTAAGTGAAGTAAGGTGTAATTGGGTCCCGGACGATTTGAGTGTCCACCCAAATTATTATTTATATCATTACCCATATGATTTGAAGGTGTAATGAGTAGTGACGTATTTGTGTCAAGGGCTGATACCATTTCTACCCATTAGGGAGGAGCTTACCCATTGAATGTATATACCCATTAAATATGTGCCAGATAGTTTGTCCTTAGGTGATTGACCCAAAAGTACATGACATATTTTTTTTTTAGGTAACTAAATATTGACGATAAAATTTAAAAACATGACTGTACATGATGGCAGGCCATGCTTTGCTGATACTTGACTTTGTCAGGAAGTATCGTTCAGAGGAAGGGTGAATGTCACAACCCTATTAAGTACAGTCAGTGTACCACACCGTAAGGTGTGCACCCAGGGTTGACACAGAGGTCAGGGCCGTCACTGGTCGAGTCCGTTCTGTGATCGCACGGCGAAACCAGCGCTCAGGATAAAGCAAGAAAGCTTGAACTGTGTTTTAGTAACATGATGACTGCTTCTGGGACTGAGCTGGTGAACGGGGTCAAGAGACACGAGGGAGAAGGAAGAAGGACATTCGGTGTGCGTCAGTCAGGAAGAGAGGACGTTTAGTGACTGGATAGTTTATGTTATAGTATTAAAGTTAGGATATATTTCTGTTAGTGACTGGATAGTTTATGTACAGTTTTGTGTTAGGATAGGATAGTTCTTGTGTAGAGTATTTATGTATATGTGCTGTGAGAGAGTGGCTAACCTGGACACTCTGACCCTGCACTAAGACAGAGACTGTGACAGTTTGATTGGGTCAGCGTGGCGATAGAAGAGAGCGTATCCTGCCGGATTGTGGTTTGTACACCAGAGTATTGCCTGTCGCACGTACTGGGGACGGGGCGATTGTAAAGCCCGTCCAGCCAGAGGGTCCAGGCAATAGGTGGCCACACGGCGGGAAGTCAACTGTCTATGTATTACCTGTACTTCCAATAAAGATTGTCGTGTGTGCTCTGTGTGCGTTCAGGTTCAGTGTGTGTTGTAGGTTAGTCTGTCTGTCATAGGCCTAGTTAGCGAGCCACGGACCGGCAAGGTCATACCAGAGGTTTGTGACATGGATAGACATGACTGTCAACGCCACACGGTGTGGAGGATCATCTGTGTCAGAGTTAATTGAAAGTACACAAAACAGAAGGTTGTGGATAGATAAGAACACTGAACTGATCCATGATCCTAGTGATTATGTGAGATGGCGAAATGTTGAATTAAGAATCAACATCATAGCACTCAGGACACTCCCATAAGTGTTCCATCCCCACCTTTGGCAGCAAGCGAAGAGTTCCAATTCTGATGGTATCAGTAACTGTCTGACTGTATATCCGTCTTGCCTTTCTCTTGAGTGCTAAACATTCGCTAGAACCGGCCAGTATATCTGCTTGCTCATTTCCCAAAATACCGGCATCACCTGGAAAACATAAAGATTGCTAACTACCCGGGACCTCTGAAGTGATGCTTGCCACTCTGCACAGAGCATGCCTGTCTCCACCTTTCTCAACATGCTCTGTGAGTCAGTTACAATTACAACATGTGCGTAAGGTGATTCTCAAACCAACGAAAGGCTGCAATGACTGCCTCCACCTCCATTCTCAAACTAGATGGTGAAATACGACAGTGTACTGACAATTGGTGATGATCTAAATTTGTTGTTTGTGGGTTTGGCTGCCTGTCAGGTAGGGTGTAAAAGAAGTTAAAGAACATTGTCTCAATTTCTTATTCATAGTCTGGGTGTCTGCAGTGTAGGTTAAGGTTGTTTTAATTGTTTGGAAATGATGAAATATATTTCCCACCTTGATTCAGAACAATCTAAGCTGGAGTTGAAGAATTTCTGTGCAGTCAGCAATGGAGGCTGTGCCCACAAGTGCACTAGCCAGATACATGGTGCTGTGTGTTCATGTCACCAAGGGTATAAACTGCAGGAGGATGGTCGATCCTGCCTAGGTGGGTTCTTGGTCATACAGTTGTCAGTCTTCTTCTTCATTGTTGTCATCTTTGTATCTTTCTGCTTTGCTGCTGTTCCTGGCCCCAGCCATGGCCTATTTTTCTTCTGATTTAAAAAAAAAAAATCTTTAATTAAATTCGTTACATTTTCATCATCATCTTCTTCTTCTTCTCCCCTCCTTCTTCCTCTTATTCTTCTTCTTCTTTGTCTTTATCTTTTTCTTTGTCTTCTTCTTTATCTTCTTTTTCTTCTTCTTTTTCTACTTCTCCTCCTCTCCTTCTCCATCGTCATATTCTCTTTCTGCTGTTGTTACTTTTTCTCCATTTATTTTGTTTGTTGTGGTTTTCTTCCTCCTCCCCTTGTCGATAAGATAAGGACTTTAACCACATAATCTAGTGGGTGCTGATTGATCTATAAACAGATGTCATCTAGCAGTATTGACCTCACAACAAAGGTTCTTTACTTACTGACTTGTAGTGGTGGTGTAAGTGCTGAACTAGACACATAGCAGTGTTTCCATCTGTAGTTATCATCAAAAACAAAGATATCTGTATAGGTTTTGGGGCCCTAATTGCTGTTGGGGGGGGGGGGTTCCATTGCCCCAGCCCACCCCACCTCAACAATATGTCATTAAAGACATCTAATTAGAGGCTGTTTCTTTCAAAGTCAGAATGCATTTGCCTGAGAGGGAAAGAACCAACAGTCTGCATATAAATTGGCAAAATTGTTAAGACGGATGGGCAATCAGAATAATATGCAAAGTCCAGAAGTGAACGAACAACCAGAACTTTCCCCTGGAGTTTATAGCCAGTGTATACAAATCATTAAAGTTGTTGTTTGTGCTCACTGGCTGTAAACCCCGATGGAAAGACTGGGTTGTTCGTCCATTTTGGGACTTAAGCTTTGTTTCAGAACCTTTGCAGCTGTTTTACAGATCTTGCTTTTGTGTATGCAGACTGTTGGTTCCTTGCCTCATAGGGAAATGTACTATGACTTTAAAGGGACCTCCCCCCCCCTTCCCAATTAGTTGACCCTTACGACATGCTGGTTGGGGATGCAGTGGGTCTATTCTTGTTTCCCCCCCCCCCCCCCCCCCCCCCCACAGTGTGACCCCGAAACCCACATGGAGAACCATTGAAGTAATGAACATCTCTTAAAAGAAACTGACTCACAAAGAAAACTGATCGCCTATACCAGAACTAGAGTACGTCGTGACGGTGGGAAAACTGGAAGGAATAAGAGGCAGATGGAGCCTGAGAGAGAAGATGTTGGACAGTTTGACGTCATGACATGGAAGATCATCTGTGTCAGAATTTATTATAAGTACACAAGACAGAAAGTTTTGGATAGATAGTGCCACCCGGTATACACTTTAAGAAGAAGGAGAACGTGAAGAAGAAGAAGAAGAAGAAAAGCAGTCAGGAAAGAGTGAAATAGATTAATGATTTCACTAATTTTATTTTGTTATACCCAAGTTATCAAGAAAGAAGTAAGCAATTTTTGTGGCAAGAACAATGGAGGATGTGCACAGATATGCAAGAATGCCAAGGATGGCCCTCTATGTTTGTGTAAAAAAGGCTACATCCTGCAAGTAGACAGCAAGTCTTGTAAAAGTGAGTTTTAGAATTTGATATTTTGTTAAAGTGAATTATAATTAGATGTTTTGTTATATTGAATTCGAATTGGATGTTGTATGAAGATGAATTGTAGAATTGGATGTTTTGTGAAGACAAGGTGTACAATTGGTTGTTTTATGAATATAAGTTGTAGAGTTGGATGTTTTATGAAGTTGTAGAGTTGGATGTTTTATGAAGATAAACTAGCAGTATAATTGGATGTTTTGTGAAGATAAATTGTAGAGTTTGATGCTTTTTTGAAGCTATGTTGTAGAGTTGGATGTTTTATGAATATAAGTTGTAGAGTTGGATGTTTTATGAATATAAGTTGTAGAGTTGGATGTTTTATGAATATAAGTTGTAGAGTTGGATGTTTTATGAATATAAGTTGTAGAGTTGGATGTTTTATGAATATAAGTTGTAGAGTTGGATGTTTTATGAAAATAAACTGTAGAATTTGATGTTTTATGAAGATAAACTGTAGAATTGGATGTTTTGTGAAGATAAATTGTAGAGTTTGATGATTTTTTGAAGATATGTTGTAGAGCAGTAAGTTTTCTGAATATACATTATAGTGTCGGATGTTTGATGAATATAAGTGATAGAATTGGATGTTTTATGAAGACAAGTTGTAGAGTTTGATTTTTTTCTGAAGATTGCTGGTCTGTTCTCTAGTGTCTGACTGGTGGATTGACGAAGGCAGAGACCTGCCCAAGGGAAGCAAGTCGGACAGTGTTCCCCTGACCACTTGGAGGCCCAAAGGCGCAGCCCAGACTGAAAACAGAAGTGATTACCTCCCACAGGAACTTGTGGATGTCAGGAATATGTCCAGTCAGTGTCTCTCAACTTTTAATACAAAATGTCCCATAAGTATCATTTCATTTGGTTTCCTATTTAGTATCATTTCATTTGGTTTCCTGTTTAGTATCATTTCATTTGGTTTCCTGTTCAGTGTCATTTCATTTGGTTTCTTATTTAGTATCATTTCATTTGGTTTCCTATTTAATGTCATTTCATTTGGTTTCTTATTTAGTATCATTTCATTTGGTTTCCTATTTAATGTCATTTTATTTGGTTTCTTATTTAGTATCATTTCATTTGGTTTCCTGTTTAGTATCATTTCATTTGGTTTTCCTGTTTAGTATCATTTCATTTGGTTTCCTGTTTAGTATGGTTTAATTTGGTTTCTTATTTAGTATCATCTTCACTTGGTTTATTATATTTCAAACACAATGTCACCTGATTTCGGCTTTGTCTAAGTTGTAATTGTATGTTTTGTAGTCAGGTGTTTTATGAAATATAATTTAGTTGTTTTATTTGTTTTTTGTTCTGTTTACAGATTTAATGCGTCCCAGGCATATCTTCGTTTTATATCTTTCATTTTTTCCCTTCCAGTTATCTGATTTTTTTGTTTTTCTCGTATTTTGTGTAAAGGACATGTGTATATTGTGTGAATGACATGTGTATATTGTGTGAAGGACATGTGTATATTGTGTAAATGACATGTGTATATTGTGTGGATGACATGTGTATATTGTGTGAAGGACATGTGTATATTGTGTGAATGACATGTGTATATTGTGTGAATGACATGTGTATATTGTGTGGATGACATGTGTATATTGTGTGGATAACATGTGTATATTGTGTGGATGACATGTGTATATTGTGTGGATGACATGTGTATATTGTGTGGATGACATGTGTATATTGTGTGGATGACATGTGTATATTGTGTGGATGACATGTGTATATTGTGTGGATGACATGTGTATATTGTGTGGATGACATGTGTATATTGTGTGAAGGACATGTGTATATTGTGTGAAGGACATGTGTATATTGTGTGAAGGACATGTGTATATTGTGTGAAGGACATGTGTATATTGTGTGAATGACATGTGTATATTGTGTGAATGACATGTGTATATTGTGTGAATGACATGTGTATATTGTGTGAAGGACATGTGTATATTGTGTCAATGACATGTGTATATTGTGTGGATGACATGTGTATATCGTGTGGATGACATGTGTATATTGTGTGGATGACATGCGTATATTGTGTGAATGACATGTGTACATTGTGTGGATGACATATGTATATTGTGTGAATGACATGTGTATATTGTGTGGATGACATGTGTATATTGTGTGGATGACATGTGTATATTGTGTGAATGACATGTGTATATTGTGTCAATGACATGTGTATATTGTGTCAATGACATGCATATATTGTGTGAATGACATGCATATATCGTGTGAATGACAGGTGTATATCCTGTGAATGACATGTGTATATCGCGTGAATGACATGTGTATATTGTGTGAATGACATGTGTTCCAGAATGCCGGCCAGGCACTGTCGGACCAGGCTGTCTGTTTACCTGCCAGAGTTGTCTTAATGGGGCCAGGTGTGACCAGCGACAGGCGGCCTGTATCTGCCCACCTGGCTGGAGAGGTCCTCTTTGTGGTGAAAGGTGTTCAGAGGTAGGCAGACCCCGTCACCATTCAGATGTGATCATCTGTAACCATGCACCATCACCATTCAGATGTGATCATCTGTAACCATTCGCCATCAACATTCAGATGTGATCATCTGTAACCATTCGCCATCAACATTCAGATGTGATCATCTGTAACCATTCGCCATCACCATTCAGATGTGATCATCTGTAACCATACACCATCACCATTCAGATGTGATCATCTGCAACCATTCGCCATCAACATTCAGATGTGATTATCTGTAACCATACGTCATTACCATTCAGATGTGATCATCTGTAACCATACGCCATCACCATTCAGATGTGATCATCTGTAACCATACCCTGTCACCATTCAGATGTGATAATCTGTAACCAGACCCCGTCACCATTCAGATGTGATCATCTGTAACCAGACCCCGTCACCATTCAGATATGATCATCTGTAACCATACATCATCACCATTCAGATGTAATCATCTGTAACCACACGTCATCAACATTCAGATGTAATCATCTGTAACCACACGTCATCAACATTCAGATGTAATCATCTGTAACCAGAGTTTTTCTTAAGTGATGTTTTTTTTAAAATCAAGGTTTTACAGTAAATGACAAATATATCACATAAATGATACATCATATTATGCATAATGTCTATAAATGACGTGGAAATGAAAAGCCAAAGAATCTTCAAATCGTTCATGCTCCTTTACAGAAAAATAGGTTGTATTTCATGGAAACAAAAACACTGCAGTGAAGAGGTCCTGGAAAGACAAATGAAAAGATAATTATTGAAAGAAATAAAAAAGAGACAGTTGAAATACTTTGGCCACATTAAGGACATAACATGCTTCTAAAAATCATACTGAAGGATGAGGTGGGAGGACAACAAAAAGATATACAGCAGTATTAGAGAGTGTACAAACAGGACAAGAGATATAGAGTGTTGAAGATCCATCGCAGCCAACCTTTATTGTGGAGATGGCACCTGATTGACTGAAATGAAAAGCAGAAGAATCTTGAAAGAGAGCAGCTGTGACAAGTGGGATGCTCAAGATATGGAAGTGAGGTTAAGCAGTCATGTGCAAGATGTGACAGTTGTTTGGGTGAGCCGAGGACCAGAACATCAAGAGTCGTCTCTGGAATTGTGGAAGCATCCTTGGATGGCGGGAAATGCCCATGATCTGCACCCCTCTTTCCTTGAGGGCCAACCCAGTCTACACACTGTTGCCCTTGATGAGCTCATCAGGGGACAAAGGGACATAAATATGGTGGTAATGTTCCATGTAACGGTCCAACTCGGTGAACTAATTCCTGATAAAGTTTGATGTGTTGGCCGAAAGGTGCAAATGTACAATAGGTACAATGCAGTTGCATGACTGATGAACAATAAAGAAGAAGAAGAAAAGCATAAATAAAACGCAAAGATACAAATCAGTAAAAGAATCCAATAACAAATCAGAGGTTCATAAACTGGTATCTTCAGGGTACCTATGGCAGTGGCTGCAACAGTCTATGTAGATGTCAGAATGGTGCCACCTGCGATGCTGTGACCGGCGGTTGTCGATGTCCTCCTGGGTTTGACGGGGACTTCTGCCAGGTTGGCTGTCCTGCTGGCTTCTATGGTAGTGGTTGTGACCTGGTGAGTATCTTGTTGTGCTTGTAAGTTGTGGATATTGTAGAGCATTTCAGAGGTTAGCACACCCGTGTGGGTTCCGGGGCCCTACTATGGGAAAAACAAGAATAGACCCACTGACTACACAAAAGCATGTCGTAAGAGTCGACTAATTGGAAGCTTTCTTCAAAGTCGGAGTGCATCTGCCTGAGAGGCAAGGAACCAACAGTCTGCATACAGATCTGTCAAACGAATGCACACGCAACACACAGGTTCTGGAACAGGACTGCAGTCCAGAAGTGGACGAACAACCAGAACTTTCTGCCGGAGTTCACAGCCGGTGAACGCATAGTAGATTTCAGAGGTAAATGTTTTTACTGAGTTCCACATCATTGTTAATCCTCATGTGTTGGCAGTTCATGTTGATATATATTGGTACATCTGAATTTGAACACCTCAAAACTCAAACAGCCTGGAATCCAATTGAAAACTTTCATGTAAAATTTGCCTTGGAACTCGAACACTGCCTTGGAAACTGAACCTCTGGCACGTGCGGATCACCTGACTGAGCTGAGAGCTCAAGAACTTCAGCACCTTCACCAGCAGCAGAAGAAAGTTCTTCTGAAGAGAAAGAGGGGAAAACTGGAAGGATTAACACTGCTGGAATCCACATGCTTTTGACGGCGTGGTCAAAAATGCTAGAAGTTGTTAAGAGGTGGCACCCTGATAGAGCCTTAGTTAATAGGTGTCACTCTATCGATAATATTATCAAACGTTTTCCAATAGTTTACACACACACACACACACAAATTGGTTGCCAACACCAGAGCACTTCAAAACGCTAGCTGTCAACAAAAACTAGTGATCCCAGACCAACGGGTACACCAATAGAGCCTTAGTTAACCCTTTCGCTGCTATGGACGAGATAACTCGTCTGCCCGGCAGACTGCTAAAGACGAGATAACTCGGCTGCAATTTTCTGTGCCCTCACTGCTAAGGACGAGATATCTCGCCCTCGTCATTTTTTTACAGATTGCTAAGAACCGTGATTCTTAGGGGTGAAATAGCAATAAACATTACCTTAATCTGATAAAACTGACCCGTTTACATGCAATTAAAACCCTTATCAAGTGAGTTTAGGCGTATTTTGATGCATTTCACGTTACCCTGTTTCTTTGTTACCATAGAAGCATGGTCGGTGAACGGTAATTTTTTTGCCCTGAAATATATTTCTGGTTTTGCGTTAGTCTACATAAAAAAAAAAAAAAATAACAAGAACATTTGTTTAAATGAAGAAGAATTAATGGAGTTTCTTTCAAGGAGCAGTAGTAAAGATGACTTTGAAACGTGTGAGTTATTTAAGCTGGGTTATCTTCGCGGCACGCCGGCGGACACGTGTACTTCTGGCTGTGAACAAGACTGACCAGTGACCATATGACCTAGCTATCTACATCGATTTGATTTGAAACGGATCCGAAATAATAAAAAAAAAAAAAAGAAGAAGATATGGTCACATACTGACATGATGATTAACATAAGTTAATGTCAATAATATACTATAAACTGACATAATTGTGTTTGTCTATTATACTGGTATTTTTTTCAGTGAAAATCAATGTGAATTCCTAGTGTAATTGGTATCACGTCTGCCTTACAATCGAAAGGTCCAGGGTTCATCCCCTACGAGGCGTTTTTTTTTTTATTATTATTTTAAATGAAATTTTTAATTTATGCTCTTAGCATTTTCGGCAACAGATCACCGAAGTAATAATTAATTAAACATCCTGTCACGTGCGTTCAGGTGGATTTAGATGCTTTACACGTTATCCTGTTCCTTTGTGAAGCGTGGTTGGTGTACTGTGCCTTTGTTACATTTCAATATTGTGTCTTTGGATAAGTCTATATTTCCTTCATACAAAATGGCAAGACAATTTGTTAAAGTTGACGAAGAATTGATGGAGTTTCTTTCGAGGAGTGATAGGGAAGATGACTTTGAAATGTGTAGTTCTGATAGTGAGCAGGACGATCTTACTGTGCCATCGACATCGAGGGGACAAACCAGCGTGGCCGAGAAAAGGTTGTTTGCGTGTCCGACGTCCTCATCATCATCGGAATCAGAAGGTAGTGATGATGAAGTGCCATCAAAACGACATAAAATTGATCAGCTATCCTGGTCTTCCAACGACTTGCGACCCGATGTGCATACGTTTGATGACTCCAGCTCTGGCTGTCTTTTAGCTGCTGTGAATAAAAACAGCTCAGTGCTGGATTTTTTAAAACTTTTTCTCACTGAATCGCTGGTGACTTTCATCGCAGATGAATGTAACAGATTCTGCAAGTATGTTATTGAAAAGGGACCTGCTACCATAAGCTTGTCAGATGGACAGATACGGATTTGGACGAATTATTTTGTTTTTTTGCTGTGTGTCTACTCATGCCCAGAACAAAGAAACTCAAAATAAATGAGTACTGGACCAAAGACTGTTTGCTGAGAACGCCAATGTTTGGTGAAATTATGTCGAGGGACAGATTTTTATTATTGTTAAGAATGTTGCATTTCTCGGACAATAATGCTGATGCAGGTGGCGACAAACTGTTCAAAATTAGACATGTGATCGACAGTTTGCGTGCATCGTTTCGTGGGGCGTTTTCGCCTTATCGAGATGTGGTTGTTGACGAGTCGCTACTTCTTTTCAAAGGAAGGTTGTCATTCAAACAGTACATTCCGTCAAAGAGAAGTAGATTTGGTGTAAAAACTTTTGTAATGTGTGACTGCAGAACTGGGTATATTTTAGATTTCATTGTGTACACTGGTGTCAACAGTGACATTACTGTGTCAGGTTTAGGGAAAGGGGCTGATATTGTTTCCACTTTGCTGGCCCCCTATCTACAGAAAGGTCACAGACTTTATGTAGATAACTGGTACACAAGCCCAGATTTGTTTATGTGGCTTCATGGTCAGGCTACAAATGCATGTGGTACTGTACGTAAAACAAGAAAACACATGCCCAAAATGGAGCAAAAATTAAAGAAAGGAGAAGTTAGTTCCAAGTCTGCTGCATGTTTATTAGCTATCAAATGGTGTGACAAACGAGAGGTGTGGATGCTGACAACATGCCACGATTCAGGAATGGTAGCAACAGAAAAAATAGGAAAACTGGGTTAAATATTGTAAAGCCACAATGTGTTGTGGATTACAACAAATGCATGGGTTCAGTAGATCGTACTGACATGCTTCTTAGTTCTATAGAATCTATTAAAAAAACTGTCAAATGGTATAAAAAGCTTTTTTTCCACGTTTTAGATCTCTCTATTTTAAATGCACATTCATTATATAAAGCTGTTGTGGGGAAAAACACACCTGTTGCCGAATTTCACTTAATGTTAGTAAGAGAAATTCTACAGAAATATTGCAAGGAAAAGAGAAAAAGTGTAGGAGGACAAAAAAGTGAAGATCTGCCACTTCGTTTAGTACAAAGGCATTTCCCTTCAATAATAGAGTCCGTAACATGGCAGAAAAAATTCCCAACAAGAAAGTGTGTGGTATGGGCAAAAAGCAAACAACCACGGGAAACCAGATACATGTGCAAGGAATGTGATTTGGCATTGTGTGTCGCACCTTGTTTTGAAATATTTCACACACAAAGATATTATTAATAATAATAAAAACCATGTATTTGCTTACTAAAGTGTTTTGTGTTTGCTTTGTAAGTTTGTAATGTTTTCTTTTTGTTAATGAGTTTTCACGGCGTAGTAATAGCGCGTCTGATTTGTCAGCGCAAAGTTCAACCACACGCCTTCAACAATTTTTTATTTTAGGTGTACAATTTTTACCCCACGCCGCAATCGCGTCTTCTGCTTTTGAAGGAAAAAACGGTATTCAGCACAGGGGGAAAGATTAGCTCTCGCATGGCTTAGCACAGTGGTTACGTTGGCTGGCGGAGTGCGCAGCAGCGAAAGGGTTAATAGGTGTCACTCTATCAATAATATTATCAAACGTTTTCCAATAGTTTACACACACACACACACACACACAAATTGGTTGCCAACACCAGAGCACTTCAAAACGCTAGCTGTCAACAAAAACTAGTGACCCCAGACCAACGTGGTACCCCAATAGAGCCTTAGTTAATAGGTGTCACTCTATCGATAATATTATCAAAAGTTTTCCAATAGTTTTCTCACACACACACAAATTGGTTGCCAACACCAGAGCACTTCAAATCGCTAGCTGTCAACAAAAAACTATGACCCCAGACCAACGTGGCACCCTAATAGAGCCTTAGTTAATAGGTGTCATTCTATCGATAATATTATCAAACGTTTTCCAACAGTTTACACAATCACACACAAATTAGTTGCCAACACCAGAGCACTTTAAAATGCTAGCTGTCAACAAAAACTAGTGACCCCAGACCAACGTGGTACCCTAATAGAGCCTTAGTTAATAGGTGTCACTCTATCAATAACATTATCAAAATCTTTGGGCATGCTGAGGGATATACTGAAGATGGGATCCAAGCACACGGACTAGTCCTAACTAATAGCAGTGTTTCAGACGGTACTGCATTTGTCTTTTCTCTCTCTCTCTTTCTCTCACACACATCCTTCTTTCTTTGGATATCAGGTCCTCAACCTTCTTAAGCGAAGCGAAGCGACTACCATCTAATTTACTTAGCTGTCATCAATTTTCCACATGTCACGTCACACTTGTTCATATGAACACGACAAAAGGCATAACTCTATATTCCTTTCTGGACCGATGGACATGGGGGCACAGCCTGGAGCTGCAAGAAATGAACATTTCACAAAGGGAACAGGATGTCTCATTAATCAACACAGAACAGGCGTCATCAGTTGTTTTACACTTGTGGAGCTTTTAAGGAGGAGATGGAGCACCTCTGGATTTGTCTGAAGTGCTGTGATGATAATCCTTACTAATTACACAGTTGATAAATATTCTGTGTACTGTTTTGTTTCACATCTTGTATTCCCACTTTTTCCATCACCCAGCTGTGCCTGCAGCCGTGTCCAAGCGGTCACTGCAACCAAACCCATGGCTTCTGTAGCTGCCCGCCCGGGATGTCCGGCTTGTTCTGCGACCAGTCCTGTTCTCTATTCACCTTTGGGCCTGACTGCATTGAGCAGTGTGGATGTAACAAGGAGAATTCTCTGGGTTGTCACTCTGTGGTAGGTGCAGTCTTTGTGTGTGCCGTGTTTGATTGTCACTCTGTAATAGGTGCTGTCTTTGTAAGTGCTGTGTTTGGTTGTCACTTTGGAGTAAGTGCTGTCTTTGTGTGTGCCATGTTTGGTTGTCACTCTGTGGTAGATGCTGTCTTTGTGTGTGCCATGTTTGGTTGTCACTCTGTGGTAGGTGCTGTCTTTGTGTGTGCCATGTTTGGTTGTCACTCTGTGGTAGGTGCTGTCTTTGTGTGTGCCATGTTTGGTTGTCACTCTGTGGTAGGTGCTGTCTTTGTGTGTGCCATGTTTGGTTGTCACTCTGTGGTAGGTGCTGTCTTTGTGTGTGCCATGTTTGGTTGTCACTCTTCAGTAGATGCTGTCTTTGTGTGTGCCATGTTTGGTTGTCACTCTGTGGTAGGTGCTGTCTTTGTGTGTGCCATGTTTGGTTGTCACTCTTCAGTAGGTGCCATCTTTGTGTGTGCCGTGTTTGGTTGTCACTCTTCAGTAGGTGCTGTCTTTGTGTGTGCCATGTTTGGTTGTCACTCTGTGGTAGGTGCTGTCTTTGTGTGTGCCATGTTTGGTTGTCACTCTTCAGTAGGTGCCATCTTTGTGTGTGCCATGTTTGGTTGTCACTCTTCAGTAGGTGCCATCTTTGTGTGTGCCATGTTTGGTTGTCACTCTGTGGTAGGTGCCATCTTTGTGTGTGCCATGTTTGGTTATCACTCTTCAGTAGGTGCCGTCTTTGTGTGTGCCATGTTTGGTTGTCACTCTTCAGTAGGTGCTGTCTTTGTGTGTGCCATGTTTGGTTGTCACTCTGTGGTAGGTGCCATCTTTGTGTGTGCCATGTTTGGTTGTCACTCTGTGGTAGGTGCCATCTTTGTGTGTGCCATGTTTGGTTGTCACTCTGTGGTAGGTGCTGTCTTTGTGTGTGCCATGTTTGGTTGTCACTCTGTGGTAGTTGCTGTCTTTGTGTGTGCCATATTTGGTTGTCACTCTGTGGTAGGTGCCGTCTTTGTGTGTGCCATGTTTGGTTGTCACTCTGTGGTAGGTGCCATCTTTGTGTGTGCCATATTTGGTTGTCACTCTTCAGTAGGTGCCATCTTTGTGTGTGCCATGTTTGGTTGTCACTCTTCAGTAGGTGCCATCTTTGTGTGTGCCATGTTTGGTTGTCACTCTTCAGTAGGTGCCGTCTTTGTGTGTGCCATGTTTGGTTGTCACTCTTCAGTAGGTGCCGTCTTTGTGTGTGCCGTGTTTGGTTGTCACTCTTCAGTAGGTGCCGTCTTTGTGTGTGCCGTGTTTGGTTGTCACTCTTCAGTAGGTGCCATCTTTGTGTGTGCCATGTTTGGTTGTCACTCTGTGGTAGGTGCCATCTTTGTGTGTGCCATGTTTGGTTGTCACTCTGTGGTAGGTGCCATCTTTGTGTGTGCCATGTTTGGTTGTCACTCTGTGGTAGGTGCCATCTTTGTGTGTGCCATGTTTGGTTTTCACTCTGTGGTAGGTGCCATCTTTGTGTGTGCCATGTTTGGTTGTCACTCTGTGGTAGGTGCCATCTTTGTGTGTGCCATGTTTGGTTGTCACTCTGTGGTAGGTGCCATCTTTGTGTGTGCCATGTTTGGTTGTCACTCTGTGGTAGGTGCCATCTTTGTGTGTGCCATGTTTGGTTGTCACTCTGTGGTAGGTGCCATCTTTGTGTGTGCCATGTTTGGTTGTCACTCTTCAGTAGGTGCCATCTTTGTGTGTGCCATGTTTGGTTGTCACTCTTCAGTAGGTGCCATCTTTGTGTGTGCCATGTTTGGTTGTCACTCTGTGGTAGGTGCCATCTTTGTGTGTGCCATGTTTGGTTGTCACAGAGTGACACATCATCATAACATAAGGCTGGCAGGTCTCCTTCTCCATTCTGTTCTGTTCTGTGTGATCACTTTGATATTGTGGATTTAATCCGGACCAGCACCTTTTTCCTCTCTTATCAACATTTGCTTTATGGTTTCTAATGGACATGCTCTCTTCCTGAACTCATTCAGTACCAGTTGACACTTCTTTTTCTTCTTTGTCTGTTCATCATTCCTGAAATGGCTCGCGGTGTCCGGGCACAAAGAGGTCTCTGGAACAGGCCCTTCTGTTCACTTCGTGTAAAGTACTTTTCAGTGTCTCTTAAACTTCTGCAGACCATATTCTGCGTGGTTGACTGTTTTAATGATTAATTAAGTAAATAATCCTAATTAACCCTATTTACCTTTGCTTTTTTAATCAGATTATGTATTAACTGTAACAGATTGTAGGAGTACAGATTGTTAAGTTTAGTACAGATTGTTAAGTTTAGTACAGATTGTTAAGTTTAGTACAGATTGTTAAGTTTAGTACAGATTGTTAAGTTTAATATATTTTATTGTCTGCTTCTCTTCATCAGACGGGGATCTGTGACTGTAAGCCTGGCTATGAAGGTGAGCGCTGTGAGAAACCGTGTCAGGACGGATTCTTCGGCAAGGATTGCGACAAGCTGTGTGACTGTCCGGGAGGCTCCAAGTGTAACCACGAGACGGGTCATTGTTTAGGCGAGTGTCCAGCTGGATTCATGGGTCCACGTTGCAACACTTGTGAGTTTTTGTGTATGTGATTATATCATGTTGTTTTGGTAATCATGCCTGACCCCCAGTCTTAGTCTTCTGTCTTGTGTTGTTGGCACCTCTTCGACTTTCCAGGCCATAGTGTTATATTGTACTAATTGAGGCATGGGACTCACAGCCATTGGCAGTAGCGAGTGTCACTAACAAAACCTGCAAAAGTCATCCATAATTTGACATCATACGTATTTAGAGCACTTCTTCTCAGACGCTAAGCTCTGTGCCTTTTTTCCTGTTATTCTCACTCCCTTCCTGATTTTTCCCCCTCCAGTGCAACAGGGCCCATGGCATTTTGTTCCCACAAATCTACCTGAATGCCTGTATCATTTATGTCCCACTTGCGTACATCTTTATATCATGGTAGATATGTCGGCCTCGACATCTTCTACCCATCTGTAATCCAGGATGTCCTTAGGGACTCTGCCATCCTCTGTTCTCCAAGTGTGACCAAGCCACCTGAACCTTCATTGACTGATCTTTGAGAGAAAACTGTTGTAATCGACCTGCTGTTTCCAACATCTCAGAGTTTTTTTTGTCTTGTCTTGCCACTTAGTACCAAGTATTTTTCTTAGGCATCACATGGGAAAGTTATCCTGTCAATCTTTCAGCCCTTGGTGTGTGACATTGGTTGTCTCTCCCAGCCATGTGACGTGGGACATCATGTCTTCCCCCAGTCTTCTATCTCCTGTACTCAAGTACAGGTTTCCCTCGATGCCATGATGTCAGACTGACTCTCCATGTGGATGCTGGTCTCCATTTTGGCAGGAAGAATCATTTCCCAAAAGGCCACCAATCATTTTCTTCTTTTATTGCCTCACTGTTATCAGGTTGTAGCCCAGTGTTGGGGTTTTGTTGTCTCACTGATACCAGGTTATAACCCAGTGTCGTGGTTTTGTTGTCTCACTGTTATCAGGTTGTAGTCCAGTGTTAAGGTTTTGTTGTCTCACTGATACCAGGTTATAGCCCAGTGTCGTGGTTTTGTTGTCTCACTGATATTAAGGTTATAGCCCAGTGACGTGGTTTTGTGGTCTCACTGATACCAGGTTATAGCCCAGTGACGTGGTTTTGTGGTCTCACTGATACCAGGTTGTAGCCCAGTGATGTGGTTTTGTTGTCTCACTGATACCAGGTTGTAGCCCAGTGATGTGGTTTTGTTGTCTCACTGATACTAGGTTGTAGCCCAGTGATGTGGTTTTGTTGTCTCACTGATACCAGGTTGTAGCCCAGTGATGTGGTTTTGTTGTCTCACTGATACCAGGTTGTAGCCCAGTGTTGTGGTTTTGTCGTCTCACTGATACCAGGTTGTAGCCCAGTGTTGTGGTTTTGTCGTCTCACTGATACCAGGTTGTAGCCCAGTGTTGTGGTTTTGTCGTCTCACTGATACCAGGTTGTAGCCCAGTGTTGTGGTTTTGTTGTCTCACTGATACCAGGCTGTAGCCCAGTGTTGTGGTTTTGTTGTCTCACTGATACCAGGCTGTAGCCCAGTGTTGTGGTTTTGTTGTCTCACTGATACCAGGTTGTAGCCCAGTGTTGTGGTTTTGTTGTCTCACTGATACCAGGCTGTAGCCCAGTGTCGTGGTTTTGTTGTCTCACTGATACCAGGCTGTAGCCCAGTGTTGTGGTTTTGTTGTCTCACTGATACCAGGCTGTAGCCCAGTGTTGTGGTTTTGTTGTCTCACTGATACCAGGCTGTAGCCCAGTGTTGTGGTTTTGTTGTCTCACTGATACCAGGTTGTAGCCCAGTGTTGTGGTTTTGTTGTCTCACTGATACCAGGTTGTAGCCCAGTGTCGTGGTTTTGTTGTCTCACTGATACCAGGTTGTAGCCCAGTGTCGTGGTTTTGTTGTCTCACTGATACCAGGTTTTAGCCCAGTGTCGTGGTTTTGTTGTCTCACTGATACCAGGTTGTAGCCCAGTGTCGTGGTTTTGTTGTCTCACTGATACCAGGTTGTAGCCCAGTGTCGTGGTTTTGTTGTCTCACTGATACCAGGTTGTAGCCCAGTGTCGTGGTTTTGTTGTCTCACTGATACCAGGTTGTAGCCCAGTGTCGTGGTTTTGTTGTCTCACTGATACCAGGTTGTAGCCCAGTGTCGTGGTTTTGTTGTCTCACTGATACCAGGTTGTAGCCCAGTGTCGTGGTTTTGTTGTCTCACTGATACCAGGTTGTAGCCCAGTGTCGTGGTTTTGTTGTCTCACTGATACCAGGTTGTAGCCCAGTGTCGTGGTTTTGTTGTCTCACTGATACCAGGTTGTAGCCCAGTGTCGTGGTTTTGTTGTCTCACTGATACCAGGTTGTAGCCCAGTGTCGTGGTTTTGTTGTCTCACTGATACCAGGTTGTAGCCCAGTGTCGTGGTTTTGTTGTCTCACTGATACCAGGTTGTAGCCCAGTGTCGTGGTTTTGTTGTCTCACTGATACCAGGTTGTAGCCCAGTGTCGTGGTTTTGTTGTCTCACTGATACCAGGTTGTAGCCCAGTGTCGTGGTTTTGTTGTCTCACTGATACCAGGTTGTAGCCCAGTGTCGTGGTTTTGTTGTCTCACTGATACCAGGTTGTAGCCCAGTGTCGTGGTTTTGTTGTCTCACTGATACCAGGTTGTAGCCCAGTGTCGTGGTTTTGTTGTCTCACTGATACCAGGTTGTAGCCCAGTGTCGTGGTTTTGTTGTCTCACTGATACCAGGTTGTAGCCCAGTGTCGTGGTTTTGTTGTCTCACTGATACCAGGTTGTAGCCCAGTGTCGTGGTTTTGTTGTCTCACTGATACCAGGTTGTAGCCCAGTGTCGTGGTTTTGTTGTCTCACTGATACCAGGTTGTAGCCCAGTGTCGTGGTTTTGTTGTCTCACTGATACCAGGTTGTAGCCCAGTGTCGTGGTTTTGTTGTCTCACTGATACCAGGTTGTAGCCCAGTGTCGTGGTTTTGTTGTCTCACTGATACCAGGTTGTAGCCCAGTGTCGTGGTTTTGTTGTCTCACTGATACCAGGTTGTAGCCCAGTGTCGTGGTTTTGTTGTCTCACTGATACCAGGTTGTAGCCCAGTGTCGTGGTTTTGTTGTCTCACTGATACCAGGTTGTAGCCCAGTGTCGTGGTTTTGTTGTCTCACTGATACCAGGTTGTAGCCCAGTGTCGTGGTTTTGTTGTCTCACTGATACCAGGTTGTAGCCCAGTGTCGTGGTTTTGTTGTCTCACTGATACCAGGTTGTAGCCCAGTGTCGTGGTTTTGTTGTCTCACTGATACCAGGTTGTAGCCCAGTGTCGTGGTTTTGTTGTCTCACTGATACCAGGTTGTAGCCCAGTGTCGTGGTTTTGTTGTCTCACTGATACCAGGTTGTAGCCCAGTGTCGTGGTTTTGTTGTCTCACTGATACCAGGTTGTAGCCCAGTGTGTGGTTTGTTGTCTCAGCCCAGTGTCGTGGTTTTGTTGTCTCACTGATACCAGGTTGTAGCCCAGTGTCGTGGTTTTGTTGTCTCACTGATACCAGGTTGTAGCCCAGTGTCGTGGTTTTGTTGTCTCACTGATACCAGGTTGTAGCCCAGTGTCGTGGTTTTGTTGTCTCACTGATACCAGGTTGTAGCCCAGTGTCGTGGTTTTGTTGTCTCACTGATACCAGGTTGTAGCCCAGTGTCGTGGTTTTGTTGTCTCACTGATACCAGGTTGTAGCCCAGTGTCGTGGTTTTGTTGTCTCACTGATACCAGGTTGTAGCCCAGTGTCGTGGTTTTGTTGTCTCACTGATACCAGGTTGTAGCCCAGTGTCGTGGTTTTTGTTGTCTCACTGATACCAGGTTGTAGCCCAGTGTCGTGGTTTTGTTGTCTCACTGATACCAGGTTGTAGCCCAGTGTCGTGGTTTTGTTGTCTCACTGATACCAGGTTGTAGCCCAGTGTCGTGGTTTTGTTGTCTCACTGATACCAGGTTGTAGCCCAGTGTCGTGGTTTTGTTGTCTCACTGATACCAGGTTGTAGCCCAGTGTCGTGGTTTTGTTGTCTCACTGATACCAGGTTGTAGCCCAGTGTCGTGGTTTTGTTGTCTCACTGATACCAGGTTGTAGCCCAGTGTCGTGGTTTTGTTGTCTCACTGATACCAGGTTGTAGCCCAGTGTCGTGGTTTTGTTGTCTCACTGATACCAGGTTGTAGCCCAGTGTCGTGGTTTTGTTGTCTCACTGATACCAGGTTGTAGCCCAGTGTCGTGGTTTTGTTGTCTCACTGATACCAGGTTGTAGCCCAGTGTCGTGGTTTTTGTTGTCTCACTGATACCAGGTTGTAGCCCAGTGTCGTGGTTTTGTTGTCTCACTGATACCAGGTTGTAGCCCAGTGTCGTGGTTTTGTTGTCTCACTGATACCAGGTTGTAGCCCAGTGTCGTGGTTTTGTTGTCTCACTGATACCAGGTTGTAGCCCAGTGTCGTGGTTTTGTTGTCTCACTGATACCAGGTTGTAGCCCAGTGTCGTGGTTTTGTTGTCTCACTGATACCAGGTTGTAGCCCAGTGTCGTGGTTTTGTTGTCTCACTGATACCAGGTTGTAGCCCAGTGTCGTGGTTTTGTTGTCTCACTGATACCAGGTTGTAGCCCAGTGTCGTGGTTTTGTTGTCTCACTGATACCAGGTTGTAGCCCAGTGTCGTGGTTTTGTTGTCTCACTGATACCAGGTTGTAGCCCAGTGTCGTGGTTTTGTTGTCTCACTGATACCAGGTTGTAGCCCAGTGTCGTGGTTTTGTTGTCTCACTGATACCAGGTTGTAGCCCAGTGTCGTGGTTTTGTTGTCTCACTGATACCAGGTTGTAGCCCAGTGTCGTGGTTTTGTTGTCTCACTGATACCAGGTTGTAGCCCAGTGTCGTGGTTTTGTTGTCTCACTGATACCAGGTTGTAGCCCAGTGTCGTGGTTTTGTTGTCTCACTGATACCAGGTTGTAGCCCAGTGTCGTGGTTTTGTTGTCTCACTGATACCAGGTTGTAGCCCAGTGTCGTGGTTTTGTTGTCTCACTGATACCAGGTTGTAGCCCAGTGTCGTGGTTTTGTTGTCTCACTGATACCAGGTTGTAGCCCAGTGTTGTGGTTTTGTTGTCTCACTGATACCAGGTTGTAGCCCAGTGTCGTGGTTTTGTTGTCTCACTGATACCAGGTTGTAGCCCAGTGATGTGGTTTTGTTGTCTCACTGATACCAGGTTGTAGCCCAGTTGTAGTTTGGTCTGGCTGCTTTCTCATTAGATAGCCAAACCATTTCATTCTTTATCTGCCCATATAATCCAGACATGGTCTTATTCCAATTTCTTCTCATGCTAGTATTCAAAACCCTGTCTTTTCTTAGGTTGTTAGTGACCTTGCAGAGACAGCGCATTTCACAGGTGGTTATTTTCTATTCTAGTGGGTTGCTAATTAGAGGTTTTTCTCCTGAATCAGAAAACATCTGCTCGAGAGGCAAGGCTCCAACAGTCTGCAACCAAATAAACCAGATCTGTTCCAAAAAAAACTTCTGAAACAATAGCAAAGTCCAGAAGTGGACAAACAACCAGAACTTTTCACTGGAGTTTACAGTCGGTGAAAGCAAAGAAGAAACAATCAGACATCTTTTTTCTTGGTGGCCTGCCTTTCTTCTCCTCAGACTTCCAGTTCTTATGATGCACTCCAGTTTTCCCCCTCTTTGACCTGCTAAAAGAGTGGACTGTCTTCCTCGGTTAAGAGTAATCACTTCTCTTCACGAATTATTTCTGTCAGGACATCTTTATCACACCATTTATCTGTCTGTCGACAGTGTTCTCAATCATCAGTTCTCTTTATGCCCAGTGGCACATGAGGCTTCAGAGAGGACTTTCCATGCTTTCCTGTCCTGTGCAATCTTCAGTGCAGTTTTCCATGTCAGAGATGCCGCATTCAGGTCACTCTCCATCGTTTGTCTCCATGTTGTTTTTGGGCGCCCCTGTTTTCTCTTTCCCTCTGGTATCCATGTGAGAGCTATTTTGGCAGGTATATCAGAAGTCATTCTCATAACGTGGCCAAGCCATTTCCATCTTCTCTTGGTAATCATACTGTCTAGAGTTTCTTGGTTTGTGACTTGAAGTAGTTTAGTGTTTGAGATTGTATCTAGCCAGAAAATTGTGATAATTCTACGTAGCCATGTGTGGTGGAAGGTGGACAGCTTGTGTGCATTCTAGTGTTCTCAATGTCCATCTATAAAACGCTTGTGGGAGAATGTGTACAGTTCGGAGGAACAAATCGATCACCACAGTCTGGTGAGAGTGATGTTGCAGAGATGTTGCAGTGATGTTGCAGAGAAATAGCAAGGGGGTTCCAGCCCATGCTTGACACTCAGAGGGAAGGCAAGATGGATGTATAATCAGAATGCTACTGACACCATAGGTATTAAAACTCTGCACTAGCTGCTGAAGATAGGGATGGAGCACTTATGGGAATGCCCCGAGTGCTGTGTTGTCATTTCTGGAATCAACTCAACTCAGCTCTACTATAAAACCACATCTGTGCCACTTCCATACAATGTTTCTGTCCATGATTCACTTCCATACATCAGACCTGAAGAAACAAGGCTTAGATTTAACCAGACAGGTCAGAGGTTAACTGTAACTGAACTGCAAAGGGTTAAAGGTCAGATGTTACTGCAGTCCCATGCAATACATTTTCTCAGTAAAATGCATGTCTTCAAAATGCCACCCCTGACAGCTTCTCGCTGTCGGATCAAAAGTTCAAATTGTATTTTGATTTTGCTACTTATGTCGCCCCCTTACGGTGTCGTTTGATGCGGCCGCATCTCTCTATCATAGCATGGCACAGCCCTGGGGTACAGGCCTGAAGAAATGATTAAGGATTATTCACAACAGACATTGACTCTGAATCCATTGTATTGTGACCAGCAAGGATTGGGTCTATTTGCAGCCTGTCCACCAGATAGATGGGGCATCAGCTGCAAGAATGTGTGCAAGTGTGAGAACAACGCTACCTGTGACAGGGTTAGTGGCCAGTGCCTGTGCACCGATGGCTGGTACGGGGCTGACTGTCATCAAGGTGGGTGCATATAAATGTGCTAGATTGATTACGGACATGTTGAGTTGTTGTGTAATGTCGGGTTGATGTATGGATGTGTTAAATTGTTGTGTAGATTTGATGTATGGATATGTTGAGTTGTTGTGTAATGTTGAGCTTATGTATGGATATGTTGAATTGTTGTGTAATGTTAAGTTGATTTATGGATATGTTGAGTTGTATATTGTTGCAAGCCTAGCCCGTACAGCGCCGATGATATCAGTTCTGTCCATGTTTCTTCAATATCCCTTGGTCCATTATTTGCCAGTTGGTCAGCTCATTCATTACCTATTACTCCTGCATGCCCAGGTGTGTATACATTCAAAGACTGCAAATCAAATGCTTTGCCAACTTAGAAAAAATGCCTTGTGACTCCATACTATACAAGGGATATACCAAAAGAGGAGAAGAATGTAGAACATGAGGTAGACCAAGAACAATAGGGAAAGATAACAGAAATTCTGCAACAGCAAGAGGTGGTGGCAAGAGGATCAAGGTACAGAACCTTCTATCTCTCAAGACCTGAAGTGCTAAAAGAAGAAGAAGAAGCAGAAGACACCTAGATGCGTAGACCCAGATGTGTAGGCCCAGATGTGTAGGCCCAGATGTGTAGGCCCAGATGTGTAGGCCCAGATGTGTAGACCCAGATGTGTTTACCCAGATGTGTAGACCCAGATGTGTAGACCCAGATGTGTAGACCCAGATGTGTAGACCCAGATGTGTAGACCCAGATGTGTAGATCCAGATGTGTAGATCCAGATGTGTAGACCCAGATGTGTAGTCCCAGATGTGTAGACCCAGATGTGTAGTCCCAGATGTGTAGGCCCAGATGTGTAGACCCAGATGAGTAGACCCAGATGTGTAGATCCAGATTGAGATGATGGAGGGTAATTGGTGATCTATGCTGAATTGTAATAAATGCTAATGACTGACACATGACAATATTTCAGCATGTCCTAACGGGCGGTTTGGTCCCCAGTGCATGATGCGATGTGTGTGTGAGAACAATGCTAGCTGTAGCCCTGTAGACGGAAGCTGCTCTTGCCAGGCTGGCTGGACAGGACAGATCTGTGATGCGGGTCAGGAAACGTTTTATTGTTACTATTATTCCCTGGGGGAGATCCAGGGCCTCTGGGCTTCCCCCTTAACAAGCACATTCTATAAGGTGACTAATCAAGAGTTTGGTGAAATCAAATGTGTAGGGCAGAAAGACTTAGATATTGCAGCCTTACTGTAAACCACAACACTGTTTGACAATTTAGAAAGTACACACAAACAAAATTCTAGCGATACTACTAGTTAGTAAGTCAAACCATTCACTCTGTAAGTGCTTGAAGTCTCTCCTCAGTCAATCTTGCTGACGACGCCATTTCTGTGTTGTTTCTTGTTCTTCTGTTGCTTTTGTCGGGCCACACCTCTTTTAACTTCCTGTTCTGGCAGTCTGGTAATGGTTGCAGATTCACAGTCATCACTTGTTGTCTCGCAAAGACCTAACTTCTCATAGAGCATTCAGTATATCATCCTGGGCCATAGCTTATCCACCCTTCATAGTAATTTTACCTGCAAGCCTATTGCTTCCTTCCCCATAAATATACTTACCCTTGTTACAATCCCTGATCTCTTCTGCCATCCTAAGAGAACATCTTCTTATAGTCCATGGCATGTGGCGTTGGTAGTCGGGTCCTTATCCACACAACCTTCGGTCTCATGTACTTTCAATCATTTCTGACACTGATGATCTTCCATACCTTGTGGCGTTGGTAGTCGGGTCCTTATCCACACAACCTTCGGTTTCATGTACTTTCAATCATTTCTGACACTGATGATCTTCCATACCTTGTGGCGTTGATAGTCGGGTCCTTATCCACACAACCTTCGGTCTCATGTACTTTCAATCATTTCTGACACTGATGATCTTCCATACCTTGTGGCGTTGGTAGTCGGGTCCTTATCCACACAACCTTCGGTCTCATGTACTTTCAATCATTTCTGACACTGATGATCTTCCATACCTTGTGGCGTTGGTAGTCGGGTCCTTATCCACACAACCTTCGGTCTCATGTACTTTCAATCATTTCTGACACTGATGATCTTCCATACCTTGTGGCGTTGGTAGTCGGCGGTCTTGTGTACTTTCAATAATTTCTGACACAGATGATCTTCCATACCTTGTGGCGTTGGTAGTTGGGTCCTTATCCACACAACCTTCGGTCTCATGTACTTTCAATCATTTCTGACACAGATGATCTTCCATACATTGTGGCGTTAGTAGTTGGGTCCTTATCCACACAACCTTCGGTTTCATGTACTTTCAATCATTTCTGACTCAGATGATCTTCCATACATTGTGGCGTTGGTAGTCGGCGGTCTTGTGTACTTTCAATAGTTTCTGACACAGATGATCTTCCATACCTTGTGGCGTTGGTAGTCGAGTCCTTATCCACACAACCTTCGGTCTTGTGTACTTTTAATCATTTCTGACACAGATGATCTTCCATACCTTGTGGCCTTGATAGTCATTTCTATCCACAACCTACCGTTGTAGATGAAAGTCTGTTTATATAAAATTTTTAAAAATATAAACTAGATCACCTTTACAAGACCAGTTTTTTCATCATCATCATCGTCGTCGTTGTCATGAGCCTTGCCGATAAACAGTCTGTAATTTGTCACCATCTCAAACGATCATCATAATCACGGATCGTGTCAATGTTCTTGTCTTGTACCATCCATATGGCTAAGCCATTTGATATTTATCTGACTTCTTTTTCCTGGCTCTCTTTCAATTACTGTTGCCAGTTTGTCATTGCTTTTTTAGTCCATTTCTGCCTGTAATGTTAAAAACATTTTTTTTTTAAACAATTAAAGGGGAGTGTCCACGTGAATATACCTTGTAGATATTTAAATTCTTTAACACTTCAAACATTTCTTCTTCTTCTTCGGGTTTACCGGCTGTAAACTCCGGTGAGAAGTTCTGGTTGTTTGTCCACTTCTGGACTCTGGTCCTGTTCCAGAAACTGAGTGTTGCGTACATATCTATTTCACAGGTCTGACTCATTTGCAAGCAGACTGTTGGTTCTTTGCCTTTCAGGCAGATGTTCTCCGACTTTGAAGAGAGCTCCCAGTTAGTTAACTCTTATGACATGCTTGTTGAGTAGGCGGTGGGTCTATTCTTGTTTTCCTCACAATGGGGTCCTGGAACCCGCACAGGGATGACCCCCAGATACTGCTCATGTGGGTTCTGAGGCACCAATTGAGGGCGGGGGAGGGGAAAAATAAATGTACTCTCCCCAAACAAGCATGAAATCTCTGTGCACCTGCCCATTAGGGCGAGAAACCAACAGTCTGCTGACCAGTAAGCCAGATCTGTAAAATGGACATGCACACAAAGCTCAAGTTTTAGAACAAGAACTCAGTCCTGAAGCTGACCACCCAGAACTTTCCACCAGAGTTTATAGCTACACCCCGTTGAAGGCTGGGATTTTTTCACGTGGACTTCTAGTATTTCCCCTGGTCTCTGGGTAGTAAGACCGGACGCCCGTGTGTATTGTGGAAAACGTAAAAAAAATACCTTGGCAGTTGGAAATTGAAAAGAGCAACCTGACGGCACTGCCCGGGCAAAATTTGAAGTTAAAAATCTACCTAAAGTATTTAAGGATCCTCACCAGTGCAATGGAGTTTCTGCACTGCGCTGAGATTCTTCAGACTCAGGCTTGAGCTAGAAGAAGAACGAAGCACTTATGGGTTACAAACGTGTGCCATGATGTTCTTCTTCTTCTTCTTCTCTTTCACCTTGTACCTCATCGAAGTGTCGGGGGGAGATGTAATGTTCGTTGATGAGCTCTGTCAAGACCACTATTAAGACTGATGGTCATTTCTGTAAGGTTGTTCTTAATGCCATCACTCCATATTTTCCGAGGTCTTCCACTCGTTCTATACCCGTTGTTACGTTTTAGTGTGGCTGCTGTGGCGAACAGTACCAGGGCATTCTTGTTAGGTGTCCAAACTACTTCATTTGTTGTTTTTGATGACCTGTAAGACTGGCTTTATTCCTATCATTCGTCTGATTTCATGATTTCGTATTGTCTTTCCTTGAAACTCCTGCAGCTCTTCTAAGGCATTTCATCTCTGTTGTCACAATTTTACATTCACTGGAGGATGTAAGTGTCCACGTTTGGCATTGATAGCAAATTATTGGCCAAAAAATAGTTCTGATAAGATTCACTTTAGTACTCTGAGGTATCTGCTTGTGTGTCAACAGGGGAGATAATTGACCTATTACTTGATTAGCTTTGGCACATCTGGAGATAATTTCTCTGTCCAGTGCCATGATGTTGATCCGTTGAATAAACAAACAAAGAAGCTGGTGAACGCTAAGAAGATACAGAACCAAGTGCTGTTTGTCTTCACAGTTTCCGTATTATCTTGTGATTACAGCTTGCCCCTCTCCCTCGTTTGGAGAGGGCTGCCAGAAGAGGTGCAGCTGCAGCAACAGTTCTCTGTGTGATCCCGTGTCTGGAGAATGTCTATGTCCTCCTGGCTGGCGAGGCAGCAACTGTCAGGAGAGTAAGTGCCTGCAGTGTGAAACAACTTGCTATAATAATCCAGGCTGGCATAATAATCCGTGTTGCCATATTAATCCAACTTGCCATAATAATCCAGTTTGCTCTAATAATCCAAGTTGCCATAATAATCCAAGTTGCCATAATAATCTAAGTTGGCTTGATAATCCAGATTGCCATAATAATCCAGTAATCTCAACCTTGCCCATGTGGTTTTTTCCCGGTTCAGGATCTAAGTCAGTTGAGTTGAGCTTCAAAAACCGACATCACAGGGGCATTCCCCTAAGCGCTCCGTCCCCAACTTAAGCAGCCAACTCAAATGGCACCAGTAGTTGTAGGTCTTGTTGTATGTCCCTGCTTGCCTTTTCATCTGTATATGAAGTGTTGGCCAGATCCCATAATCATTCTCTTTTGCACCATTCTTTTCAGACTGATAATCTAATTGTGCCACCAAGCTGTTCATTCGCATCCTGCATGTTCCTTTGGGACATTCCCTGCCTCTTCTCTAGCAAGCAGGCTCTACTAGGGTGACCGTTTACTTCCTGTGCTTTAAAAAAAATATTTTATATGGATGTTATACCAAGTGACTCAAAGAGAAGTCACTTTTCTGATAGGAATATGATAAGAGCAAGTCACAGAATCCCTGTTCAACCCTGTAGATCAGTTATATTGGAGCACTCTCCAGCTACAGTGTAACCTGTGAATGGATGTTGAATAGAGCAACAAGGCTGGCATATAGTACCATAACATCTAGTTGGAAAATGGAGGTGGAGGCAGTCACTGCAGCCCTTGAGAACCAGCTGTGCACAAATTTCGTAGTGAACTGACTCACATGTTGAGAAAGGTGGAGACAGGTGTGCTTTGTTCAGAGTCCCCAGGTGGTTATTGCCCTTTGTATATTTTCTCCAGGTGATGCTGATGTATTGGGAAATGAACAGGGTGATGGACTGGCTGGTTCTGCAGCACTTGGTGGTGTATGGATGCATGACAAGCCAGGGGTTTTAAGGGTTCTTTGGGAGCAAGTGAACATTGCGGAGTCACAAATAGATCATTAGGGTCTGAAGAGAATAGTGCAGAGAGGAGTAACTAGCAGATTTGGCCGACGCTCAACACTCACGGGAAGGGCAAGACGGAAATTCAATCAGACTGTTACTGGTACCATTGGAGTTAGAATTCTGCGCTTGCTGCTGAAGATGGGGAGGGAGCCCTTATTGGAATTCCAAAATGCTGTTGATTTTTGATTCAACATTCTGCAGTCCTTTGTGGCTTAGTCGTTAGTTGAGACTTCAAATTCACAACACACTAGTCATCCTATAATTTCTACGCTGACAATGGAAGTCACACAAAATGCTATTCACTGTCCCATTTGAAAACTTGTGAAAAACAGATCAGCTCCATCGATATTTGGAACCTCACTCACACGAAGTAAATGCATACAGCAGCTGCCAGGTGTGCCAATACTAACAGTCCCCCACCAGAATTAATGGGTGGGTTGATGAATGTAGTTGTCTACATTGTGTATTTTGGGCCAAAATCTTGTCTTTTTTCTTCTTTCGTATTTGTACTTCAAAAGACTGTTGGCAACTTGTGTTCTGGTTTACAGCTAGGTTGCGATATCTTTCTTTTCAACCTACTGCATACAGTTTCTCTACACCCCTAATTAGTCATCCATTTCGACATTCTTGGAATCCCTGACAAGCAGGATATCCCTTCCCACCCCCCTCCTCCCCTCCAAGACCTTGGCTGCCAGGTCAACCCAGCCTATAATGGTGAAGTCCTGGGAAGTAAAGGTGGCCGGCGGGATGTTGACCACATCACCCACCAAGTGTCCAGTGGTTAGTAAGATATAGGTCTAGCCCTGTGTGCCCATATATGCCTGAAGGCTGGGAAAAGGGTCCTTTTACAGACAGCTACTGCCATGAGCAGTGGATCTGTGTCCCCCCCACCCACCCACCCACACAGGGACCCCCCACCCACCCACACAGGACCCCATTAGTGACCTGCATGATACTTTCTGTCAAGGATCTCTTACCGTCCATTTCCAGAATGCCCCCTGGGTTTCTATGGCCCCGGATGTGGACAGTCCTGTCTCTGCCAGCATGGATCGAACTGCAGCCATGTGAGTGGGGCTTGTGACTGTGCACCAGGCTGGAGAGGAAAGTACTGCGAGAAGGCTTGTCCTGAAGGCTTCTATGGCATGAGGTGCCTGAGTCAGTGCACCTGCCTCAACGGAACTGTGTAAGTGGTCTGTGTGAGTTCTCTTGTGCCTTGTTAAACTTGCTGAACCGATGCTGCTGTGTGGCTGTGAGTCTTGGAATGTTAATAAACGAATTAAGAACCTGGAGGCAGTGGAGACGTGGTGTATGTGACACAAGCTGCAGATGTGGACAGACAGAGGGACTGATGTCGTCTGCCTGGAAATGGCTAATGAAATTAGAAAACTATATACATCTATGAGAAGGTGGCAGTCAGGGTTCTTCAATCATGTAATGAGATGAAAGGCATACCAGAAATCATGATGACTGGAAAGATCAAAGGTAGAAGAGGTAGAGGTAGACCAAGAGAGGCAATGCTTGACGGACTAAAGTCATAGGATGGTAGAATATTATCAATGGAATTTATTGAAAATACCAAGAACTGAGATCTGTGGAAAGACCTGGCAGTGGACGTAATGATGATGATCCTTGTTGTTACCGACAGTTTGTGAACGCTTCTTGGTAATCTCTTGAAGTCCCGCGTACGCTAACCTATGCAGCAAATGCTTGCAGAAGTCGGCTAGAGTAGCTGAAAGGTACAAATATGGTAGCTATATTGTAAACGGGCACAATTCATTGACGACTTCGCATAAATGCAGAGGAGGAAGAAGATTTAAAGTCACTTTTTGTGATTGCTATTTGCCACAGAAATACAGATCTTGAGGCCAGCAGGCAGTCATATAGTGACCTGCCTATCATGGCTCAATGTTCCCTGGTGGATATGTACAAGAGCGCTTCAAATGAAAACTTGTTTGGTGTGATAGAAATTACAATAACCCTGCCACTTCTTGTTTTGGTATCAGGAGTTTACACAGGTGAGGCCAAAGCAAAAAAAAATTACCGTGATGAAAAATCATTAATGCATTACTTTCCAAGTAGCAGTATTCACATTTGTAACTACCATTGGCGAGGCCAGATTTCTTTAGTATCTTCTGACTAAATATTGTAAGCAAGAGAACACAATATGCTGTGAGGGAATCAAAGGGTAAAGTTACCCAAACACCAGGCGTTTGTTGAGATTTAAAAAAAAAAGTTAAGGATGTCAAGAGTGTTAAGCACATTATGTCAGGGTGCAGACAAACAAGAGGATGTCATAATCAGATGGCCACCCCACATTTGACATGGTTATCTATAACACCTTTAAAGTTTTCCATAAGGCCTTTTCATAGGTTGTTATTTTGACCAGTTTTGCTATTTCGACCGAGTTCTGAAATTTGTTTCATAATTCTACCCAATTCTGCAAGTGTTTTCATGATTCTAACAAACTTACCAGTCCTTTCATGGCTCTACTATTTCTACCAGGGCTTCCATTTATCTGCCAGTTCTATAAGCATTTTTTTGGTTCTACCGTTTCTTCCTGTGTTTTCACAATTCTATAAATTTGGCAAATGTTTTCAATTTGAGCAATTCTGCCATGTTTTTACAAATTATTCTACACGTGTTTCAATGATTCTACCAGTTCTGCGGGTGTTTTCACAACTGCAGCTACACTATCAGAGTTTTCCTGGTTCTACTAATTCTGCAAATGTTTTCATCACTTTCACTTTAGCAGTTCTTCCATTGTGTTTATCGTTTATCGCAACAACATGTTCTCTTTGACTTGTGGACAGCAGGTTTGCTGCTTTTAGTTGTAAGTTTTTGCTTCTGTCAATAAATGGCTGTTGCATTTTCCTCCATATGTAGACTCAAAGTATATAGTTTCATCGCCCAGGTACTGACCTGAGTGCGTGGCTGTATACTGTGAGCTGTAGATTTCATTTGGAATTCTTTTGCATACTGCGATAACCTGATGAAATGTTTTCTATGCTACAGCTGTGACCACGTGACCGGCGAGTGCCGATGTGCCCCTGGGACTATGGGGGCTTTATGTAACCACACCTGTCCCCAGGGATATTGGGGCGGCAACTGTCAGAACCCCTGTGACTGCCAGAATGGGGCTTTCTGTGACCCAGTGAGTGGGTCCTGCCTCTGTAAGCCTGGCTGGACCTCGACAAAATGTAATGAATGTAAGCAGCAGAATTTTGATAGTTTTTCTTCATCGTTTTTCTTTCTTCTTTTCTTCTTCATTTGTCTTTCTTTCTTCTTTCTTTCATTCTTTCTTTCTACCTTTCTTTTTTCTTCCTTATCCTCCTCCTCCTCTTTTTCTTTTCTCAAATCTTTTTTTGTCGTCTTCCTTTTAAGAAACACTACAGTAATATTAACATTAAATACCAGGAGAATTACAGATGCATTCTTAGAATTCCTTGGACAGCCAGAAAGGGCAGCCCAGATGTTTTGAAAGAGGCAAGAATTCCATTATAAATTATAAACACCAGAAAGCGACAGTCCTAATTTGTTGGTCATGTTAGGAGAAGAATGAAACTGAAACATGTTGTGACTACATAAAAAATCTGTGGAAAAAAGAGACACAGGAAGACTGATAGATGCTGTTGATGATCGAAGGTTGTGGAGAGGCATGGTCGCCAACACCAGTCAACAAGATACTTGATGATGATGATGGGAGTCACAGTAGCCTAGCGGCTAGTCACTTGTCAGCCGGTTTAAAGCTCTTGAGTTCAAATCTGCTTGGTGTTGAATATTTAAAACAATGACCTTGGCTTCTAGGGTGATCTGGGTACTAGGTAAAGTTCTGGGAAGTAAAGGCAGACATATGTAAACTATGGAGCGGGTTTGCAGTACGCCAGTCCCCTTAATTAATAACAGTAGATTATCAATTCAGGGTGAACAACCCTGAAAGGCAGCTTTATGATCTGTAAGAGTTACCTCTGTTTTGCTCCTGGTTTAGCGTGTCCACCGAAGATGTACGGCCAAAACTGTATGTACCGATGCTTCTGTATGGAGAGGGGCTCCTGCCACCCTACCACAGGCACCTGCAACTGTACTGCAGGCTGGCAGGGAGCAGTTTGTGAGAAACGTAAGTAGAGCCAGTAATGGCACTTAACATTTAGGACATTCACTGACAGTTACCATAGAGTCGCAGTGCTAGATGCTCGCCTAGGGCCCGAAGGTTGCAGTTCCAATCCGCATGGAGCGGGATATTTAAAAAAAAAAAAACTTGGCTCCCAGGTCGATCCAACCTAAAATTGGTACCAGGTAAAGTCCTGGGAAGTAAAGATGGCCGGCGAGATGTTGACCACATCATCTACCAAGTGCTGATTGGTCTAGAAAATGTAGGTCTAGCCCTATATGCCCAGTTAGCCTGAAGGCTTGGGAAAAAAAGGTCCTTTTACTGACAGCTACTGCCATAAGCATCACTTATCGCTGAGACAGATCCGCATGACTTCATGTCCCTGTCTGGGCTAGGGGCATGGGGGTGCAGGCTTGAGCTGTAAGAAATGAATATGTTTGATTCATCAACACACAACAGGCGTAATCAATCACTAACACTTGTGGAGCTTTTGAGGAGGAGAGTGGATCACCTATGGATCTATCCGGAGTGCTGTGAGGATAATACTGTACTGATTGTATCTACTACTTGTGTCATGTGGACTGGTTCTTTCAAAGACTTTGATCCTGAGGATTTAGGGCCACATAGCTAGTGCTGTCAACACGGACTGTGCAGGTTAGGTTATTGTTTTTACCCTGACAAAAAAATCCTTGACCATACCGAGGACTTGAACCATGAGAGCATGTGTTCTTAGCTTACTACCATGGGTATATGGTGCTGCCTTTTCTTATAGTCCTTGTTGGTCATTCTGCTAGCAGCCCTCTGCCTCATATGCAGTCATTGTCCGTCAGCAATGTTCTGTCTCATACTTTACTAATATACATGTAATGCCGCTCTGTTGGATGTTGAAGCCCTTAGGAGTTAGAGAACCCATTAGACAGATAAGATGGTTCTCAGAAGACTCTTTCACTTTTTTGTTTACTGACGATCTTTCAGCCCATGCAGTGTGGCTGTTGGTAATCGTGTGTGTCCACAGCCTTCTGTCTCCTATGTTGTCAGTCTTAAAGACCATGCTGGGTTCTGTTGGTAATCATTTCAGTCCACAACCTTCTATTTTATGTACTGCCAGTTATATTTAATTCAGAAGTTCTTCCACGTCACTTTGTTCATCTCTGTTGGTCAACCAATGTCCCTCTCTCTTGCTTAACCACTGTCCATCTCTCTTGGTCATCCAATGACCATCTCTCTTGGTCATCCACTGTCCATCTCTCTTGGTCATCCACTCTCCATCTCTCTTGGTCATCCACTGTCCATCTCTTGGTCAACCACTGCCCTCTCCCCTTTCAGATTTCTTGCTAGCCTCAGATTGTATAGATCATTGATAAATCTGTACGTGGTTTGGAGGTGGTCAGTATAGGTGTTCTTTCAGCCGGTTGTGCTGGTTTTGTTTGATTTGTTGGTGTAAGCCAGGTTTTTGTTTTCTATGTGTCCGGGTTTTTTCTTTCTGAGCCGGGCTTTTTTTTTTCAATGGTGATGTATTTTTCTAGTTTTGTTTTTTATTTTAAAAGCCAGGTTGTCAAGTTTTATTTTTCGTTTTTTGGTTGCAGCATGTAGTAAGCATTTTTTTAGTGTCGTTTTTTTTAAACAGCATGTTAGCTTGTCTCTCTCTCTCTCTTCCCATCTCTCTCTTTCTCTCTCTCTCTCTCTCTCTCTCTCTCTCTCTCTCTCTCTCTCTCTCTCTCTCTCTCTCTCTCTCTCTCTCCCCCTCTCTATCTCTCTCTCTCTCTCTCTCTCTCTCTCTCTCTCTCTCCCTCTCTATCTCTCTCTCTCTCTTCCCCCTCCCTCCCACCCACCCACCCACTCACTCAGGTATGTGAACTTTTTTTTTGGTTCTGTGTCAGTGTGCGAGCCTGGTTTTGTTTTTCAGTATATCAAGTGGCATTTGTTTAAATTTGTAAACAGCATCTGAGACTAGTTTGTATGTAACAGTATATCAGCCACGTTTTTTTTGTGTGTAACACCATCACAGGCTTTTATTTTTTTATTGTTATTCTGATTAGCATGTGAAGGTGGTTTTTACGGCCCCAACTGTGAGTTGCAGTGTGATTGTCTCGGCAGTAAGTCATGTGACCGTTTCAGCGGAAAATGTACATGCCAGCCTGGTACCAGAGGACGGCGTTGCGACAAACGTAAGTATTTCTTAGCAGTATGGTGGCTTGTGTTCTCGATATTTGGCTCTGCATTGTAAATGCTGAAATATAGGTATCTTTGTCATTGGATGAATAAAAATTTAAGGCCACATGGGTAGTGCACTTGCCACATACTGTGCATGTCCAGATTTTTATTTCATTCTCGGCCGAATAAATCTTCTTTCCATGCAGAGGATCAGAACAGGGTCTCTGGCACGAGAGCCTAGCTGCTTCCTCTCAAGCATGTCGTAAAAGGTGACTAATTAATGGCTGAAAGGTCAGATATCACAGCCTAGCTGTAGACCACATCACTATGTTTTGACCACCCATTTTAGGGTGAACTCAAAAGAAGAACATTTACTTTAGAGTTGAACTCATTTAGTGTTAAAAAAAGTTAGTTCCGTATCCTTTACAGGACGTTGCAGAACCAACCCCAGCATTTATTGGCTGTTGTGATTTTTCTAGGCCAATTTTTTGTTCAGTAGTAAACCATTGCTATTGAACGGTCGCAAGACAAATCATCCTCAGCAGAGATTGAACCCGGCACTCCGGTATCACGAAGCGTGTTCACAATGTCTAAACCACAAATGCCGACCATGTAGTGTTGCTTTCGTCTAAAATCTAACCCCACTGCTGAGACACCGACATGTCTCCCTTTCAGCCAAACAGCATCTGGGTAAAACATCAAGAACAAGCCAATATTATTAGCTCCATCTCCCTTCTCAACAGGCAGCCAAGATTCTCCGCACTAATGGTACCCCCTTCTCATCTGGTTAACTACTTGACTTTTCCCCTGAGTCTCGAGTGGCACCCAGAGCCCGCAGACACTCATCGCTGCGTCATTCAGCAAATCTTCATCCTCGCTTACAAGAAAGGACAAGGTCACAAATGCCAGAATTTGAGGGAAGGCTGGAACAAGACCGCGCCTGAATGACATTGAAAGAAGTGAATGAAGGGTTTCAGCCAACTAGTAAGAAAGCAGCCAGACCAGACAGTATAGAAGACCTTCTACAGAAAAATATCTGGGCAGAAAGTGAGAGAGACCATTTTTATTTCCATAGGATCACAAATTGGGTACGCAGGCCATCATATTTTGGCCTGTAAGACACTCATCTGTCACACTGCAGTTGAATCCTATTCATCAAGCATATTGTGTTCATATATCCAAATGCTTAGTTTGAAGGTAAAGTGAAAAAAGAAATGCATGAATGGCAAATGCATACTTTCGGATATACCTGCAGAAGTATACAAACAGTTTCACACAGTGGGGTGCACACACTGACATCACACACACACACCAATACAAAATACACATACACAACACATACATACATGTACAAAGGACTCACTCGCAGACACAGCGCTCACACAGGCAACACACAGAGTACAATAATAACATTACAATAATAGACACAGACATGACACACACACAGACACGACACACACACAGACACGACACACACACAGACATGACACACACACAGACACAACATACACAGGTGGATGCATTTTGAGAACAGGAAAACTGGAATATGTTGTAACCACTGGAAAATTGTATGGAAAGAAAAGTAGAAGAAGACAACGTGAGAAGATTCTCAAAATCCTTGTTTCATGGCTTGTGGGGTGTCAGCTCACAGATTGATACATTTTGCTAGAAATCACAGATTGTGGAGAGGCATGATCACTCATAGCAGTTGGCACGACATTGGATAATGATGACGATATCAGGATTGTAAATTGAGAAATAGGTTCTTCTTCTGGTTTTGTTGCTCTCTCTAGTGGAATATCCCTCCTTCCCTTTGTTCTTCTCTACTGGACAGGTGTGTAACCATCAGTCAGGTACCCACTCCACAACAAAGTCCGGCTGCAGTGGTTCTCCCTCTCTTGTCCTGGTTGTGCACTCTTTCACACCGCTGTTCGTCCGTCTCTTGGTGTTGTCCTCCCACTTGTATCATTGTCTACTTCTTGCTCTCTTACCCTCAACCTTTTCTTCCAGTATGGTTTTCAAAAGAGTTTTATGTCTTTTAATGTGGCTGTAATATTTCAATTGTCTGTTTTTTATTTCTTTTAGTAATTCTCTTTTCATCGCAGTCTTTCCAAACCTCTGTGTTGAACTGTTATAGTTTTTATGAAATACGACCTGTTCTTCTGTATATCCATATTTTCACAGAGTTTGACTTTCTAGTTGCTTATTAAACCTTCTTAGCACAGACGGGCTGATTATCGGCCGGCGGATGTCTGGCCAAAAACACGGAACGGCCGATCATCGGCCCGATCGTGTTTCGCCTTGAACCGCTAAGAAATCTCCTATTTTGAAACACTGAAAGTGATTCATTTATATTAACTGCTGTATCAGCTTTACACATGGCGACTTTCGAGTGTTTGGTATCGAAGTGACAATTGTTGTTGAATTTTTTAGATAGTGACCTGAACCGCTAAAAGTATGTCTGACTCGTATGTTTCTGCCCCTAAACTTGATGTTGATAAAACATTTGATTCAAGTGATGACACTAATTCTGTTGATACTGATGCAGGATTTAGTGTTAGTAGTAATAGTGGGAATCAGATGGGGACGCTGTTGTGTTCAGACCACAGCCCAACCATGGCTCAGGGTATATCCACCCGAAGGTGTTGACACTCTGGCACATCCATTTCTTGTGCTGACTGATGGTGAAAAACACATGTCACCTAAAGATATTATTGCTGTTTCATATATATATACCTGTTTTTGACTATTGAATTGCTTACATTTGCAAAAAGGCCAAAGATCAATAAAAAGATTTCAAATAAAAAAAATTTTTGTTTTTAGTTTTATGTTTCAAGCATTGAAGTTGAAAATTCAAATTCATATTTTCTTTTTTTAGATATGCAAATGAGATAATTTGCATATACATCAATTAATTTTAACGATATTGTGAAAATCATGAACTTCAATCCTTCAAATAGATATATTATTTCATGGGGGTCACAATAACAGAAATCTGTCAAAAAAATTAAATAAAGTTATAACCAAATTCACTGAAAAAATGCGCCGTGTTTTTGGCTAGAACTCTGAAAAACTTCCCGTGCTAAAAGGGTTAATATCTAGTTTTCTGCACCAGACTGCAGGGTTGAGCATACAGAGTAATTGACCATTCCCATTTTGGTATTTATCTGTCCAGCTGTCAGTATTTGTTGCATCTTATTGAAGATAACTTTAGCCATTCCTATTTATTCTCTTCTTGATTTCTGGTTTACTTCTGCCATAATCTACAGATCTATACTGACTCAAGATCAGGTAAGAATAAGGAACTTTCTCAGTTGGATGTCATTTGCTTGTCTCCAGCGTGTAATGATAGGGATTGTGCCTTCCAAATTATTTACCACACACTGAATAGGCATTTACTAAAACTGGCTGAAGCTATGACAATTAAAATGAATAAAAGCATTATGGTAAATCTGAAACCTCCATGGTAATTGGCTGATGTTTGATTTCTAGTGTTTAGATGTACTAAACAGGCTCCAGTGGACCAAGAGGTGAGGAAAAGACGCTGCCGTTGGATAGGACACACACTGAGAAAACAGGAGGACAGCATAACTAGAATGTCTTTGCATTGGAACCCACAGGGGCATAGGAATAAAGGAAGGCCAAAAAACACATGGAGAAGAGAGCTGGAGAATGAAATTAGAAAGAAGGGGAGGACATGGCGAGAGCTCCATGCAATGGTGAAGGATAGAACGACTTGGCGTGAGTTGGTTGAGGGCCTAAGCTCCATTGGGGGATAGAAAGGCAGAAGAAAAAGATGTACAGTGTAACTAACTAGAGACATTACCGTCTGTGTTTTTCAGTGGAAATGATTACATTGTGTACTTTATTATATGTTGCTGTAATTTTGTAGTAATGCACCTGACGAGATGTAGTGAAATATTCCATTGTGAGGTGTATTGTTTATGTTTGCTATATTTAACCCTGAGAGACGACCGGCGTGATGCTGACCACATCACCCTAATATAACTCTAGCCCTATATGCCCATTACGCCTGAAGGTGTGGACAAGGGTCTCTACCCTGAGAGAACTGGCTTTCTGACATTTGTGGGTTTTTTGAGGACATGACATTTATGGGCAGTGACTGGTACTCCGATGTGACAGCTTTGATCTATGAGTGAGTGACCTTCAACCTCACCAGGACCGCACAACAAGCGATAAACACCCGTTGATACAAAGTGCCACCATTCAGATCAGAATCCTGCAGGAACAAGTTCCAGAAACCTGTTACAACTGTTAGGTTATATTAGGGCCCCCAGCAACAGCCAGGGTGGGCCTTTAAATAACCCCCCCCCCCCCCCCCCAAATTGTGTCCCATATTTTAACGGAGTTAACAGTGAGTAAATAGTTTTGATACTGGTTGCAATCGCATTGAATATAGATGTGGTGGCGTGGATTATGTTTACAAACAATGTTTTTAATTATAGATATTTTAGGTGCATTAAAACAAAACAAAAATACATTTTTAGGAATCATTTTGGCAGTGTTATGCCATAGTAAACTTAATGATGATGTCAGTTGGTTTTTGTGGTTTGTGTCAACAAAATCCCCTGTTTTCTTGGTCAAAGGGAAGGAAAGCAGTTATTACTTTTACTGAATTTGTATTCAGTGATTACTTCCCTTCATATATTTAAAAAAAAATACCTTTTGCACAAAATAATGACTCTAAATATGAAAAATCCATCTTTTAAGTAGTTTTGGGGACACATTGATGCAGTGACTAGCAGGGTTGTCTCTCTCCTCAGTGATCATCGGTTTTAACCCCCTGCATTTTTATATAAACTGAACAGGATCCCAAATTTGTTTTGCTTCTTTTATTCCTCTAGTCTCTTAAGGTAGAGCTTTAGAGAATCATATCCATAGTCCCCCACCCTGGCTTTTGCCGGGGGCCCTGAATATAGCTGGGCCATAATTGTTGCCTAACGGCTAAACGGGTTTTCTGGGACCTCTCCACGGGTGATCCTCATCCGCATGGTGGCACTTTGTGTCTATCGCTTGTGTGATGTCCTGGTGGGGTACAAGAGAGAGAATCGTATCAGTTTGATTATGTATCTTTGTGAACAGAAATTTGAAACATGTCCGTTTTTAACTTTTTTACTATACGAAAAGGTTAAAACTAATTTTTGTCTATTTGCCAGCGTGTCCTTTTGGTCGGTTTGGTGCCAAATGTAAGCAGAAGTGTGCTTGTGCTAAGGGTCAACCTTGTTACCATGTGGATGGTCAGTGCCGGTGTCCAGCCGGGCTAACTGGCCGCAAGTGTGAGAACAGTGAGTTCCTAGATTCTTGGCCGTTCTGTGTCTGTCTCTGCCAAAAGTTCTTTTTTTTTTCTGTCTGTGTGTCAGGAATTTCTTTATTTTTTCCTTCATTTTTTTTTTTCTTTCCTTTTTTTCTTTCTTCTTTGCTGTTTTTGTCCTTTCTTTATGCCTTTATTTCTTCCTTTCTTTATTTCAGGCTTCTTTCCTTTCTCTCCTCCTGTTTTCTTTATCTCTTCTGTCTTTTATTCTTTCTTTCTCAACACTCAAGGGAAAGGTGGGATGGATGTACAATCAGACATTTACTGGTACCATCAAAATTGGAACACTTTGTTTGCTGCTGAAGACAGGGATGAAGCACTTTTGGGAGTGTGTAGAGTGCTATGATGTTGATTCTTAATTCAACATTGTTCTGTCTTTAGTTTTTCTTTCTTTTTCTCTTGTTTTCTAGCTTTCTGTTTTCTGTTTTCTTTTGTCTTTCTTCCTCCCTTTCTGTCTTTCTTGTTTCTGTTGCTTTGACTGTCTGGTGTCTATGACACACAGCTACCTGTCAACTCGTGAAGCTAACATCAAAGTCTATGAGTGCCCGGGTCATTGAGTCAAGGATCTTTTATAAAAAGTTCAGCCAAGCTGAGTTAGAGACTGACATCGCAGCACTGGAGACATTCCCACCCCAACCCCACCTTTAGCAGCCACTGCAGAGTTCAGATGCTGTAGGTACCAGTAGCAATCTGATCGTGTCTCTCTCTCTGACCTTGGCTCCGAGTGTCGAATGCCGGCCAGATCCTCTGGTCAGTCCCTGCGGCACCATTCTTTTCAGATCTTGATGATCCGTGAGTGCCTCCGCACTTTTCACTTGCTCCCAAAGAGCCTTGACCATATCTAGCATATCATGTCTTATTTCACCACCCACTGGTACTGAACCATCCATTCTCTCTGCCTGTTCATTTCCCAACACTTCTGTTTGACCTGGAGAAGATAACCAAAGGATGCTAAGTACCCAGGACCCCTGAAATAATGTGTGCTACTCTGCACAGACCATACCTGTCTCCACCTTTTTGAACATGTTTTGTGAGTGTGTTATAATCACAACGTGTGTGTACAATTGATTCTCAAACCAGTTGTCTGCCTCAACCTCCATTCTCAAACATTTCATAAAAAGTAGTTATTCATTATTAATATCCTACCCCCAGATGACATCACAGGACAGTCCAACATTTTACAGGGGGGTAAGACTGGGTTTCCCAGCTTTCTGATGCTTTTAACTACCCCAAAACATCTAGAACTGACCCTAACCTCAACCCACCTACATCCCACGAGAGAGTGCAGCCTGGGTCCCACGACTGCATGCAGCCTATCTACCACCCCCTGAAAAATTAGACTGTCCTGTAACCTGTGGATTTCCGCTATTTGGGGTAGGATATTAACACAGCACCAAAATAGATTGTGGTGGTAATAACACTGTTGTTGAAGTTCTGATACTCTTTTACTGCTTGATGCTGTGTTCTTTACAGAATGTGACCCCGGCTCATTTGGACCTGGTTGCCGAGGAGTTTGCAGCTGTGGCGACAGCATGGTGTGCCATCATGTGACCGGACAGTGTATGTGTCGGGCCGGTTTCTACGGAAGGAACTGCAGCAAGGGTTAGTCCTTACCTGTTACAACCACTACGAGTATGTCCAATATATGTCATCAGTGATCGAGGTCAGGGAGACACAGCAGGAGTCAGCCGTATTACGTATTTGGATATTTTAGGCCTCAGGAATGTATTCCATTTAAGGCTTCACTCTCTTCCTGTTTATTTACTTCTCTCTTTATATCTTTTTCTATCATCATCATCTTCATCCGGTAACATTGTGTGTCATTGGGTCACCAGTTGCTGTTGTCTGACCAGCTCCCTCCAGTTGTGACAGTCAGGGGCGATGGACTTCATGGTTGCCTGCCCAAGCCTGTCCAGTCAGTCAAGCTGTGTATTCAGGTCTCTCTTGGTCTGCCTCTTCTCCTCTTCCCCTCTACCGAGCCCTGCAGTAATGTTTTTTTTTGAGAGGCCGTTAGATCTTTTTGCATGTCCAAACCATTGCATTTTCCGCTTTTTTAATGTAAGAAGATGTTCATAGTTGCCAATGTGCTGCATGATGATGATGTAGTGAACCTTGTAATTTGCGATGTGGTCTCTGATTTGCCAAGAAATTTGCTGAATGATCACATTTCCAATGCTTTTATCTAGTTTTTTAGTTCAGCAGTTAAGCTGTATCTATATATTTCACACAACGAATTTTAATGGAGGTAAAAAAATGTCTTTTTAAATTTATTAGTGACCAGTAAAAAATTTTTTAAGGGATTTTTTCATGAGAATTCCCATGGTTTCATGACTCTTGTTTTTTTTAAATAAGGATTTTCAGAGTGAAACGGTTATGATTTTTTTTTTTTCATATAAGAGTTTTTGTGTCCTGACGTTCATCACGTTGTGTTTGTTTGTTTGTTCATTGCCAGAGAAGACAAAAGACGAGTCAGAGAAACAAAAACAGGACAATAAGACTCTCATCAAACCTCAGAAGATGCTGAAAGACAAGACGACACTGAATAAACTGAAAGCAGGTATGTCAGTGTTAACTCTTTGAGTCCCAAGGAACGCAACATACGTTCATAGGTTCGTACCTAGAAGCCCAGTGAATGCATGATGCACCGATTTTATGACTTTTCTTAACTACCCATGGGCCTGTGATGCTAAACCCCATGAGACTCGAACAAACGAACGAACAAACTTTTTTTTCAAAGGGTTACAAATTGGGCACACAGGCCTGTCTGACATTCGGCCCTTCTTCATTTTTCAGAGTACCAATGCCTGTTATCAATAATGCATGTTATGGATGTAATAAAGAAATATACATTATGGAATAATGCATACACACATCATGTGTACACAATCTTACACACACACGTATACATACTCTTACATTCTCATACATGCACACTCATATACAGACATACGTAATACATATTTTCATGCATCTACATACATACACAAACATAAAACACACACATATATACATAGACATACATGCACAACATAAAACGCACACACATACATACATAGACATACATGCATACACATATTCTATACATAGACACCTACACATGCATGCATGCATACACACACATACAATCACATATACTGACACCCACAACCACACATATACACTCACATGCATAAATACACCCATATACATGCATGTATACATACATGCACACACATACATACACACATCTATACGTACACTCCAGGAGTTTAGCACCAGCCAGGAAATACCAGATCACAATTTTGAGAGTATGTGTCTGCCCTGTAGCTGCTCACGAATGTGAGTTGCGGATTATCTCCCTTCAAAAAGAAAATAGGAGCTTGTGAGCTGAAATGCTGTAGAAAAATTCTCAGAATATCAGGGACCAGGAAGAGAAGAAATGCTGGCATCTCAATGAACTGAACATCAAGGAAGTTTGGCTGATAAACAGCATCTTGTCTCGGAAATATCATACATACCAAGCGCCACAGTGGATTGGAAAGAATAATACCTGAAGCAAGGGTACCAGGAAAGTGGAGCAGGTGCCGACCAGTATGAAGATAGGCACAGGATATAAGTGACATGTTGGGCGGGAGAGAGACAGAGTTTCTTTCGGGCAACTGTGCAATGGACCTGCTATGTGATGATGATCTTAAAGTTTGTCAACGCAGTTTGACAGTCCTGTGATTTCGAGTTAGGCGCTGCTAGTATGGGGTCCCCGAACCCCACTGGAGGAGGACCCTCAGCTCCTGCATAAACATATTGTAAAAGGTGACTGATTAAGGATGTGCTAAAATTGAAGGCGTTGGCCCAAAGATATCACAGCCTAGCTGTGAGCCACAACAACCCATCCTGTGAGACAGCCTTTTAAGGGTGAGTGCATAAGAAAAAAAAAAGAAGACTTTATGCCCTGTCAAATGTCTTGGGAAGTAAAGGAGGCTCTCATGATGTTGACCCTATGAGTCATCGAGTGGCAGTTTGTTAAGACACATTTTAAATGTTTCCGGCCGGCACCAACACGCTTGCCGATCTTTGTTCTTGTCGCCCGTCATACCACAAGACGCTGATGAAATGCTGGTAGGAGACTGGGCACTCGGGCACGAAACTCCGTAGCCTGGCCCAGAACCTCGTTACGTTTCAAAGTATTACCTTAAACACATAACTAGTGGTGAAAACACCCTTTGTCCTAACGGACAAAAAAAAAAGGTGTCCGACCATCTTGTCTGTTCACACCGGAAGATGGGTCACGCAGATATTGTCATTGCCCTTAAAGAGCTAGGACGTTTCAAGGATTTTGGAAGCAATGTGTCGATATCACTCCTAAGAATACGCGAATTAGGAGTAAAGATCGGAACTGCCAAGCATGAGAAGCACACTACCGCATGACGCTGATGAATATGAGGAGAGGGGAATCTATGGATGTGTCCGGAGTGCTGTGAAGATAATCAAACTCACAGTTTGTAAAGTTCAGCTGTGGCCCCATTTTCTCCATATGAATCTGCAGTAGGATGGCTTTATGATAACCCACAGTTTTCTGTTTCTGTGGCTTAGGTGTTGCGAAACTGATTCGCTAACTCCGAGGTGCTGAGTTCGATAAAAGCTGCGGGCGACTTGGCAACAGGCCACCTTGTGTTGGTTTTGACTGAGTGGACTGTTCAGAAGGCAGTATCAAACCACTGAATCTAAAATTGGCTAATGAAATCACAACCAGCTGAAAAATGCTGGGGTTGGTTCTGCAGCGTTTTCTGAAGGATGCATATCTGACTTTACAGATTCCAGGCGGATGCGACCTAATGCGGATACTAGGATTTATCCTGGGGAGTGAACGTGGTGGTGTGCTGTTGACTTCATCACCCATCAGATACTGATTGGTCCATAAAGTTAGTTAGTTACTTAATTAGTCGAGGCTCTGACTTGACTGCAGATGGGTTGCCCCAGAATTGCTCCATTCCTGTGGCAGTGGGAATCACACAAAATCCCTGGCACCGCTCCATCTAAAAAAAAAACTAGTGGAAGAACACATAAGTTCTAGGAAAATCATGAAGCGAGCACACGCAAAGTCAATGCATAAAGCAGCCGTAAGATGTGCCAACACTAACAGCCCCACACGAGAATTGCAGTTTAGTGTTAATGTGAACGGTCACTTACAAAAGTCAGCATGTGCACACACAGTCCTGCCTAAGTACACACCATTCTGAACGTTATCAGCTGCCCTCTATTTATTTATTGCAGTTCACAACAGAAAACCACATTCGGCACAACCTCCCCCCCCCCCCCCAATTCCACATGAATGCCACAGCTCACAGTGTCACACCAAGCACTCATCCTAGTAGCTGAGTGATGGAGCATTTGGACTGCCATCTCAGAAATGTTGAATTTGCCTTAGCAAACCTTCCCGTGTGGGTTCTGGAGCCCCATTTGGAGGAAAACAAGCTGCCACTCCAATAAGCATGTTGTACGAGTCAGACTAATTGGGAGCTTCCTTTGAAGTCATTGTGCATCTCTCCGAGCGGCAAGAAACAGGCCAGCTGCGCACAAATAAGCTAGTCAGATGGATATAGACACACAAACACAGGCCCTGACGCAAAGTCGAAGTTCAAATAGGCGAACGACCAGGACTTTCCACCGGAGATTACAGCTGGTGAACAAAATGAAGAAGAAGCATTAGCAAACTGCGGCTGATTTGATTCAAGAACCGACATCACAGCACTTTGGGCATTCCCATGAGCGCTCCGCCCCCATCTTCAGCAGCCAGCGAAGAGTTCCTATACTAATGGTGCCAGTAGCATTCTGATTAAACGTCGGTCTTGCCTTTCCTCTGAGCCTCAAGCATCTGTCAGAACCTCTCGTCACTCCCCGCTGCATCAATCTCACCAGACTGTGGCGATCCATCTGCTCCTCCGAACTGTACAAGCTCTCACACAAGGCACTAACCACGTCTGCCTTATCATGCATCAGTATTCCAAGTTGTGCAAAGCCAGCCAGTCTGTCCACCTGTTCATTTCCCAACACACCGGCGTGACCCGGTGAAAAATTCCAGACAATACTCCTCACCTGTGTCCGCAGCACGAAGCATGCCTGTTCTGATCTTCCTCAGCATGCTTTCTGGATCAGTTACAATCGCGATGTGTGTGTGTGTCGTGTTAAACTGCGGCTGGAAAAGTATGAGTAAATAATTAAACAATGTAATGAAGATGGGAAGACAAAGTCGTAGAGATAAGAAGAGTCTATTCTTTAATGCTCCAAAAATATTTTCAATAATTTTTTTATCCTTGCAGCTTCTTTGATGTTTGGTAAGTAGGTGTTTTCACTGAGTGTCCGTTTTGGTTTCCTGGAATAGAGAGAATATGTTTGCTGGATTGCTTTCTTTGTCTTCTCTTTCAATTTCCCTTCTTCTTCTTCTTCACTTCTTATTTTTCACATTTGTGTTTTTACCTTATACTCATTTTACCTTATTTTTCCATGTATAAAACAAAATGTTTACTCTATTTTTTAAACACTTTGTTTACGTGGAATAAGTAAGTAGGTAAAAAGTAAAGGACCCTTTAGGCGTATAGGGCATATAGGGCTAGACCTATATTTTATAGACCAATCGGCACAAGATGGCTGATGTGGTTAACATCACACCGGCCGCCTTTACTTCCCGAGACTGTACCCTGTACCCACTCAAGGCTGGGTCGATATATATATTTTTTTTTTAGGCCGATCAGCGCTTGGAAAAAAAAAAAGGATGTCAAAGGGAAACTTTAGGAAAAACATAAATATGAGAGGCTAACAAAGGCTAGATGAACTAAATGTCAGAAATAGAGAGAATTCTATGCAATAGAGCGGAGTGAAGAATCGAATGTACATGAAGGATGATAATGAGGATGATGGCTGCACGCTGTTGAAAACTGCCAGATCAAAAACTTTAGTTTTAGTTAAGAGGCATCGGATATACATTTTCTGAAAATGTAGAATGAAATCTAAATTTGTTCTAATAGTGTCCACCTTCTCCAAAGCAGTAACAGCTGAGGACTTTTCCCCACGAATGCTGTCTCAGTGACTATACTCAAGAAGATAGAGATAAGCTGGCTGCTTCTCAGTGACTATACTCAAAAAGGTGGAGATGGGCTGACTGCTTCTCAGTGACTATACTCAAAAAGATAGAGATGGGCTGGCTGCTTCTCAGTCACTATACTCAAAAAGATAGAGATGGGCTGACTGCTTCTCAGTCACTATACTCAAGAAGATAGAGATAGGCTGGCTGCTTCTCAGTCACTATACTCAAGAAGATAGAGATAGACTGACTGCTTCTCAGTCACTATACTCAAGAAGATAGAGATAGGCTGGCTGCTTCTCAGTCACTATACTCAAGAAGATAGAGATAGGCTGGCTGCTTCTCAGTCACTATACTCAAGAAGATAGAGATGGGCTGGCTGCTTCTCAGTCACTATACTCAAGAAGATAGAGATGGGCTGGCTGCTTCTCAGTGACTATACTCAAGAAGATAGAGATGGACTGGCTGCTTCTCAGTGACTATACTCAAGAAGATAGAGATGGACTGGCTGCTTCTCAGTGACTATACTCAAGAAGATAGAGATGGACTGGCTGCTTCTCAGTGACTATACTCAAGAAGATAGAGATGGACTGGCTGCTTCTCAGTGACTATACTCAAGAAGATAGAGATGGACTGGCTGCAAAGGCAGTGGTCAGAGTCTCTGAGCCAGTTGGGGCTGAGACATGTGACTTTCATATTTGCGCCAGGGAACGCAAACATGCAAGGAAATGAGCAAGCTTGCAGGTAAATCTACCGTGGCGGGAGGACATGAAATGGGGCAGGTTAGTCTACTAAAAGCTCTGCGAGAACCAAGTGATGACTATAAATCTCCAACCATGACCAGGCTATCAGAACATCATGTCAGAAGGAGTGTGGCCAGACAAGAGCACTATGCAGGTAGCCAAAGAAGAATAAGAAACCAACACAGGACTGGTGCCGTCACCTGCTGCACGCTGTGGGATTTACTGAGGATAGGATCCGAGCACTTATGGACTCAATGGTTCGATGTATAATAAGAAAGATTTGTCAACTAACTAACCTTCTCCGTATATTTCCAGGCTGCAGACTCGGGGAGTATGGACCCAACTGTGACCAGGTTTGTTTCTGTGACAACGACGCCAAGTGTGACGTGGCGACCGGCACCTGCTTCTGTCCCGAGGGATTTGTCGGAGCCACATGCTCCCAGAGGTGCCCAGATGATAGATACGGGTTCAATTGTTCTGGCGTAAGTCCTCCATATCTCAGTGTCCTAATCCGTTCAGTACCAAACAACTCACTGTGCGTTGATTGAGGACTTCATAGTTGGTTTGGTTTGGTTTATACAATGAATCAACATCATGGCACAAGGGTAGTAACCCATAAGTGCTTCGTTCTACTTCTAACTCAAGCCTGAGTCCGAAGAATCTCAGCACAGTGCACGAACTCTGTAGCACCGGCGAGGATCCTGAATATACTTTGGGTAGATTTTTAACTCTAAATTTTGCCAGGGCAGCGCCGTTAGGCTACTCTTTTTGATTTCCAAATGCCAAGGGACTTTTTTTTTACGTACACAACAATACATACGGGCGTCCAATCTCACTACCCAGAGACCAGGGGAAATTACTACAAGTCCACTCAAAAGAAATCACAGCCTTCACCAGGGCTTGAACCCAGGACCTCCAGCACTCGAGGGGGACGCCATTTTTCGAGACCACTCAGACCCCCTTGGAAACCGCATAGAAGGTTAGTTACGTATACTTTACGGTAAGTTGACTGATTGTGATCTCACTGGGCAATTATACGGTATGTGTTTTTGTCACTGGCTGTAAGCTTCGGCGGCAAGTCCTGGTAGTTCGTCCGTGTGGATTTTGGTTTTCTGCTAAAGTCTGAGTTTTGCATGTACCTCCATTTTACTGGCTTATTTGTGTGTACTCGCAAATTTGCCTAGAAAAGCCACAACAGCAAAAAATGCTAGGGTTGGTTTTGCAACGTCCTGTAAAGGATATGCAACTAACTTTTTAACCTTCGTAGTAAGAGGACATCTACCTGATAGGGGAACCAACAGTCTGCATACAAATAAGCCAGATCTGTAAACCAGATTTGCATGCAAAACTCAAGTTCTGGATCAAGACCAAAGTCCAGAAGTGGACAAACAACCATAATTTTCTGTCAGAGTTTACAGCTGGTTAACACAAATAAGAATAGGACTAAATGAAGTGTTTCTGTCTCTATCAGGTGTGTGACTGCCAAAATGGGGCCAGGTGTAACAAGAGGATGGGTCGGTGCAAATGTTTGCCTGGATACAAGGGAGACAAATGTCAGGACAGTAAGGGGCCACAACTGTTATGCTTACTTAATGATTGTTTCTTCATGTTAGCTCCTTTTCCCAGTATCTTTCCCTCCAACTTGCCTCTGTTTTCCCCTCCAATTTTTTCCTGTGTTTTCCCCTCTGCCTTTCCTATGCCTTTATCATTAGGGACTTTACATCCAAAACAGTTTTGTCTAACATGTTTCAGTTATGGCCCTTGAGTTTTTTGTGTAACAAGTATTTTTTTGTCCGGTCGTCACACACACACACACACACGTGTCAGAGCTTCAACTGGCTAGACAGAAATGGGATGTCTCTTGGTTATACTTCATTTAAGTGATTTTGTGTATTGTAAAGATCTCTTTTCATGCCGTTAGGCGCATCGGTCATATGGAAAGAGCACGCATGTTTTTACAGACCAATCGGCACTAGGTAGATAATCTGGGGAGCATTGCGCCGGCCGTCTTTACTTCCCCGTGACATTTTCACAGTGGTGACGCGAAGTATTCGAACACACACAAGTTTGTTTTTTTTAACTTTTTACATACTAATACTTTTACTTAGGTTAGGGTGGCTTTGAAAAATTGTATATAAATTTTAATTGAAAAAAGGCGCAGCGACTACGAAAAGTTTGAGAAACACTGGCTTATACGATAAAGCATCACAGCGAGGAGTGAGATGTAGTTTCTTGTCTTTTGCTGGTTGTGTAGCGTGTGTTAATATCATACTGTGTTTCTGTAGTGTCTCTTTTACTTCCTCCATCCATCTCTTTCTTGGTCACCCTCTTGCTTCGTAGCCTGCTGTTCTCTTGTAGTACACTTGAGCTGATGGCTGATTTTGTTCCATTCTGTCGGGAGGATGGTCTTTGAAACACGAGTCTTTGGGGAAGAATATGTGAGCTTTTGAACGGACATGCGACGAGAAAGAAGAAAAATGTCGACATCCTACACGAACTGAATGTCAAGGAGAACTGGCTGGTAAACCGCAGACTCTCTGGAAAGCTGGGGTATTTTGTACATGTCAAGTGCCATGTTTGTCTGGGGAGAACGGCGATGGAGGGGGGCAGTTTCTGGAAAAACGAGACAGAGGCAGACCTCCGGGAAGGTGGATACCCATTGGCTATTAAAGCTTATAGGGCTGGAGAATAGGCTGGAGAAAGAGAGACTTTCAGGCGTGCCATGAAGAGAGCGACATTCTGTAAAGGACATGGTGACTGATTGATTGATTGATTGGTTGACTGACTGATTGATTGATTGCTGTGTTTTCAGTGTGCCCATCTGGAACATTTGGCCAGGACTGTATGAACAACTGTACGTGCCGTCACGGGCACTGCGACCACGTCACCGGGTCCTGCCGTTGTCAGCTGGGCTGGATGGGACAACAGTGCAACCAGACCTGCCCCCAAGGGAAGTTTGGGCCGGACTGTGTGCATACTTGTAACTGCCAGAATGGGGCTTCCTGTGATCCAGTTACAGGATGTTGCAGTTGTCAGGAAGGATTCTACGGGATCGGATGTGAACTGGGTATGTGGTTATTTCATATATGTTGTCATAGACTATTGTGCATTTGTCAAGAATGGTACAGATTCAGTCCCCAGTAGGATGCCTTCATCATTGTCATCATCATCAAATTCTGTGTCTGCCATTAAGCATAGTAGTGGATAAACATATCCTGATCCATTGCTCGAAGGGTACAGCTGGCTGTCGATCATTCTGTGTTGATGTAGAATGTCTTTACTGTTATCAGTCCGTTATATTCTTAGGCACCCTCTTGCTTTCAAGCCAGGTCATTTTAGATGTAATGCCTGTGTTGTCTAGCTGTAATAAATACCTGTATCGACCTCAGTAAGACAAAGACGGTGGAGATATGTTTGGCACACTTAGAGACGAAATGAACAAAGAATTACAAAACAAGCATTGAAATGGGGAAAAACTCTGAAAAAAAGAGAACGCCCAAGGGAAACGTTAAGAAACTTTTCCGAGAAGCTAAAGAATTTGCTGTCAGAAATAGGAAGAGTTGCATGCAATAGAGTGGAGTGGAGGGATCGAATGCCCTATGTGACATTTAACGGCACACTAAGGATGATGATGATGATAAGTATCATGGGTTGTACAATTACAGTTGGTTAGTCGACAGATTATCCTCATTGGACATCTAACCACTTAGTCCAAAAGTGCTCGGATCCTGCTCTCAGTAAATCCCGCAGCGTGTAGCAGCTGATGACACCAGTTCTGTGTTGGTTTCTTATTCTTCTTTAGCTTCCTGTATAGCGCTCTTGTCTGGCCAAACTCCTTTTAACATGTTGTTCTCGCAGTCTGATCATGGTTGCAGATTCACAGTCATCCCTTGGTTCTCGCTAAAGTCTTACTTCTCGTAGAGCATTCAGACTATCAGCATGGTCTATAGCTCATCCACCTTCCACATTAGATTTACCAGCAAGCCAGTCACTTTGCTCATTTCCTTGCACACCTGCATACCCTGGCTCGAATATGATTACAGTAACAGCCAGCACTGGAAAGTGTAAAAACGCCTACATTTACAAATGACTATTACTAACATATAAGAATAACGATGTTATGGGTCTCCTGATTATAACTTCTTTTTTGTAGGTTGGATAGGGCACCCAGGATGTTCCTGAGGTCTTCCAGATAGAACAGGACGTTTGCTTTCATCACTTATTGTTTTCTTGCCAACAGAATGCCCCGATGGCATGCATGGAGCTCACTGTACCCAGCGCTGTGACTGTGTTAATGGAGCTTCCTGTTCACACTTAACTGGCCAGTGCCGATGTTTGCCAGGTTTTACTGGTGACAGATGTGAAAACTGTGAGTATATTTGGCTGAGTTTATCTTGGGAAAAATAGGTCTTTAGTCACATAAAACCGGATGGTTGCTGTTGCACCTGGCTGGTGGAGCCGTCACAGCTGCCCTACTTATAATTTTTTGGGAGGTTAAACTGGGTGTCTTGTTGATCTACTATACTGACCGAGATTTTTAAATAACCGGATGAAATGGTAAACTGTTAGGTAGCAGTCCAGAAAGGACTAACTGATAAGTTAATTAGGATTAATATAAGCTTTTCTAACTCCTGTTTGGCAGAAGTCAAAAGGAGGATAGCCATGGCAGTGAAAAGATTAAACAGCATTAAAAGCCTATGGTTAAGCACCAGCAATGAAATTAAAGTTAACATTTTGAGGGCATGAATCTTTCCTGCAGCAACATATGGATGTGAGTCGTGGACTGTCTCCCTGTCCTTAAGCAAAAACAACTAGGGGCTTTTGAGCTGAAATGCTACAGAAATTTTCCCAGAGTACTATGCACAATGAAGAAAAGAAATTCATTTGAAAAGATCTGAACATTAAGGAAGATTGGCAAGTAAACAGTATCTTGTCCCGGAAGCTGAAATTTTTTTTAATCATATCTAGCGGATTTAAAAAAACAAAAATAGCAGAAGGCATGGTACCAGGAAGGAGAGGCAGGGGCCGACCGACACGAAGATGGGGACAGGATGTAAGTGACTCCTTGAATATGAAAGAACATGAGGCGGGAGAACTGGTGAGAGACCGAGTTTCTTTCAGGCAGACTGTGATGGGAGCGACGTTCTGCACAAGACCTGATAAATAATAATGATGATGAGATACCTGTAAGATAAGTTGCAGCCAGACAAAAAAGAAATAGTTCCATCACTTTGTCAACATGAAGGATTTGAACTCAGACACTTGAATAAGATTCAGTTTCCCTGTGTGTGGATGCTGGGGTCCCAGTTTGGGGGAAAATAGAAAATACCCCCGTCATGTGGGTACTTGGGCTTTATTATTGGGAAAGTAATAGACCGACTGCCTCCCCAAAAGCATGTCATAAGAGTCAACTAATTAGGGGCTTCCTTCGAAATCAGAGTGCATCTGACTAAACGGCAAGGAACTTTCTACACATGAATAAGCCAGTAAAACGGATGTACACGCCAAACTAAGATCCTGGCATAAAAACGAAGTCCAAATGAACGAGCGGCCAAGACTTTCTGCTGAAGCTGACAGCCGGTGAGCAGTAGAGAAAGAAGAAAAGACTTCACTATCCCTATCAAGCCTGTTGTGAGTGTCTCCTAATTAGGGGTGTTTCCTTCAAAGCTTAAGAGAGGAGGAACCAACAGTCTGCATACAAATAAGTCAGATCTGTTAAAGGGATGTGCGCGCAAAGCTCAAGTTCTAGAGCAAGACCAAAGTCCAGAAGTGGACGAACAACCAGAAATTTCAGTCGGAATTTACAGCTGATGAATGCTATCAAGGAGAAGGTCGCAGGTTAATAATTTCTTGATCAGACACTATTATCCATTTTGATAATTAGATCACAACTGTTTTCTTCTTCTTCTTCTTTTTATTATCTTCTTCTTCTTCTTCTCCTTCGTGTTCACCTGCTGTAAGCTCCGGCGGAAAGTTCTGGTTGTTTGTCCACTTCTAGACTCTGGTCCTGGTCCAGAACCTGACTTTTGCATGTACATCCATTTCACAGTTCTGACTCATTTGTATGCAGACTGTTGGTTCCTTGCCTCTCAGGCAGATGTACTCTGACTTCGAAGAAAGCTCCCAATTAGTCGACTCTTACAACATTCTTTTAGGCAGGCAGTGGGTCTATTTTTTTATTATTATAATCATTCTGTTTCTTCTTCTTCTTTTTCTTCCTTTTTTAAAAAAAAATCATCCATTAGGTTTAGGCTCTTAATTATCTTTTACCTACTCTTGCAGCTCACACCTCAACACATTGTCAGCTGCTGTCTTTCATTCTCTTTTCTGTATCTTTATACAAATCTCTCTACCTCTTTTTCTCTGTGTGTTCCACGGAAAGACATTCTAGTTATACAACTGTCGGATTTTCTTAATGACTGTAGAGAAAAAAAAACAAAAAACTATAAAAGTCAAAACTTCTGGTTGATTGTGCAGCTTGTTCCAAGAACAGATGGGGAGTCCACTGCCGAGAGAAATGTGCCTGTGGAAAGAACAACAGCTGCGACGCCGTCACTGGACAGTGCCACTGCCCACCTGGATTCCACGGAGACCGGTGTCAGATGGGTAAGGTAACAATTCTAGGCATTTATTATCATTTTACAGCGATAACTATTTTTTCTTGCCAACTCTGTCCTAAAAATATCACTATCATTATCCTGTACCTTTTGCAGAACGTCGCTCCCATTTCAGTCTGCCTTGAAGAAATTTGGTCTCTTGCCAGCTCTCCCGCCTCGCGCACTTTCATATTCACGGATTCATCTTCTTCTTGCGTTGGCTTGAAATAAATTATCTATGTCTGCAATGTTGTCTCTAGTATGAACTTCACTGTCTTTTGTAATTCACTCAGCGACCCGTAAAGTTTCACTTGCACCAATGTTTCTCTTGGCCAAAAGTTTTGTCTTGAAATGTTGTATTTGGGACAGTCTTGGAGGACATGATCTGTTGTCTCAGGTGCCAGTCTACATGTGCACATGGCTGGTTCGCTGATTGTAAACTTTTTGTACCTTTGGCTGTGAAGTCGAGTGTGTCGTGTTCTAAGGCGTAGAATAATAACTTGCTCTGGTCTGTCCATAAAATGGTAATTGTCGTGTGCTGGTTTTGGTGGCTTTCTGATTGTTTTGATTATTCTCTTTTTATGTTAATAAGAGACTGTTACGTCTGGTTGTTCTTCATTTGCACCTTCCTCAGCTAGTTTATCAGCTCTTTCATTTCCAGGAACTCCACAGGTACAGTTACATAGTTACCCTACACAGACTGCCTAGTTTGGAGTGACTTATATCTTGTAAACACCTTTGTGTCGGTCGGTACCTTCCCTCCCTTCTGCTACCATTCGTTCTGCTATTACTTTTTCCAGAATGTTTCTGAAACAAGATGCTGTTTATCAGCTAATTTTCCTTGATGCTCATATCTTTTAGAATGTCAGTGTTTGTTTCTCTTCTTTGCCCATGACATTCTGAGACTCTTCCTTGCTAGGACTGACAAGTTTTTCTCTACTGTTCAAATGGAACAGTGAAGGACATTCTGAAGGATTTCCACTGACTCAAGAACGAAGCAGTTATGGGGCGAGCCGTCTGCGGGGAAGTTGGAACCTCGACTTACGACTGTGGAATACAGAGGTTTGTTACCGTCCCTGAAGGTGCTTCAGGACCAGCTCTCAAACTGGGCAAGACCTATCTACCATTCTTTGCAGTCTTTCAAGAAATGGGTTTCCTGGTACTTATCACATACTCACCCACATGAGGAGAGTTCCTTCCCTTCCCATTCATGCTGTGGCCGGTCCCACGGCCTGTCCTATGTTGTGGGGATGTCATGTATCCTTTTTTTCAACAGTTTAATAGTTATCTCTTTTCTCGTGTTGTCACTGCTCACTTGTATGATTGCTTCCACATTATACTACTTGCCAGACAGTTCCTGAGTATTAAAATTGCGATGTTTTTGTATTTCTACGTTTCTTGTCAATGGCTTCTTTGTCTGGTGGGAAGCCACTGCCACGGAACGTAGAAATCATCCCAGTTTCAATACTCATGAGCTGTCGCACCTTTGGCACTTCCCCCTGCAGAACTTCTTACTTGCCCACAGGCGACGGCGATGGCTCAAAGAGACTCACCACAACATAGTGAGTGAAGGCCGAACGAAGCCATCTTATAGCACCCCCACAGCATAGGACAGGCCGTGCGACTAGCTGCGGCATGAATGGGAAGGGAAGGAATTCTCGCTGTGCGGGCAGACTCATGAGAAGTTCCATGTTGCCTTACTGTGAGCATTGCTGAAGTAAAAGGATTGATGTTTCATTCAAGGTCAGGGCAGATCTGTCGGAGAGGCAGGGAACCAACAGTCTGCACACAAGAACCCAGATATGTAAAATGGATGTGCAAAATAAAAAATTTAAACACAAGTCCTGGACAAGATTAAAGTGGATGAAAAACCTGGACATTTTTCCAGAGCTCCAAGTTGGCAAACGCAGAAGATGAAGAAGAACTGCAAGTATTTTTTGATGTAGTCAGGTAATGGCAAGTCCAGCTTTATAACTAATAGGTTGGCCCATAGTTGCTCTGATCTTGTACCAACGAAAACCTCACAGAATGGCCATCACTGTCCTCAGGGAAACAATTGACACTATCTGCAGTCTCAGTCAAGCTAATTGCATACTCATGCATTAAATGCATAAGGCAGCTGGCAGAGGTGCCAACACCAACAGTCCAGACTAGAAATACAGTTTGTCATTGATGGAAGCAGTAGTTACAACACTTCAGTAGTTGCACATGCAGCTAATCACATAAGTCACCACCAGTTCTATGGTAACAGGCCACACGCCATTTGCTGAATCTGCAGTACATAACACAAATCAGGCTGGACGCAGATGAAAAGCATACCAAATAAATCATAAAATGTATTATGATAAAACGCGTGTGTTGGTTGAGGGCCTTTGCTCCATTGGGGGTTTAGAAAGGCAAAAGAAGAAGAATTATGTCATAACATAAGGATACAAGTAAAGATCCCTTTTCACGCCTTTAGATGCGTCAGACACATGGAAAGAGTACCCATATTTTTTCAGACCAGTCGTCACTAGGTGGGTAATGGGGTCAGTATTATGCCAGCCGTCTTTACTTCCCCAGGACATACACCCTGGTACCCATTTTTTTAGGCTGGGTCGACCTGCAACGCCCCGTACCATGATAAAATCCATGCAGACAACATGAAGATAACAAAGATGAACAATGAGATGAATGTTTAGAATGGCACTGACCTTCCTCAGAATGCCCAGCCGGAAGGTACGGCCCAGGATGTGTCTACTTCTGCAGCTGTGAGAACCAAGCCACCTGCGACATCATGTCTGGGGCATGCATCTGTCCCGATGGGTGGCTGGGTGCCAGGTGCCAGACAGTTCACAGTGAGTTACTGTCTTCTTCTTCTTCTTCTTTTGTTCCTACTGCTTGTGCTGTAGAGCGTCGCATAGAAGAGTTATAGTTTCCTGTCTTGTGACCTACTGCTTGCGGTGTAAAGCATTGCAGAGAAGATGTAGGTATAGTTTCCTTTCTATTGTCCTACTCTTTATGCTGTAAAGTGTTGAAGAGAAGATGTAGGTATAGTTTCCTTTCTATTGTCCTACTCTTTATGCTGTAAAGTATTGAAGAGAAGATGTAGGTATAGTTTCCTTTCTATTGTCCTACTCTTTATGCTGTAAAGTATTAAAGAGAGATGTTAGGTATAGTTTCCTTTCTATTGTCCTACTCTTTATGCTATAAAGTGTTGAAGAGAAGATGTAGGTATAGTTTCCTTTCTATTGTCCTACTCTTTATGCTGTGAAGTGTTGAAGAGAAGATGTAGGTATAGTTTCCTTTCTATTGTCCTACTCTTTATGCTGTAAAGTATTGAAGAGAAGATGTAGGTATGGTTTCCTTTCTATTGTCCTACTCTTTATGCTGTAAAGTGTTGAAGAGAAGATGTAGGTATAGTTTCCTTTCTATTGTCCTACTCTTTATGCTGTAAAGTGTTGAAGAGAGATGTTAGGTATAGTTTCCTTTCTATTGTCCTACTCTTTATGCTGTAAAGTGTTGAAGAGAAGATGTAGGTATAGTTTCCTTTCTATTGTCCTACTCTTTATGCTGTAAAGTGTTGAAAAGAAGATGTAGGTATAGTTTCCTTTCTATTGTCCTACTCTTTATGCTGTAAAGTGTTGAAGAGAAGATGTTAGGTATAGTTTCCTTTCTATTGTCCTACTCTTTATGCTGCAAAGTGTTGAAGAGAGATGTTAGGTATAGTTTCCTGTCTTTTACTAGTGTAGCCTGTGGTAATGTCACCATGCGTTTCTGCAGTGTCTCTTACTTGTTCTCCATCCATCTCTCTTGGTCCGCCTCTTGCCTTGTAGCCTGCTATTCTCATATAATATGCTCTTGATGCTGGCTGATTTTGTTTCATTCTGACCAAATCATTAAACCATTTTCCCCGTGTGGGTTCCGGGGACCCTAAAAGAAGAATAGACCCATTCTTCTTCTTCTTCTTCTTCACTTCCTCTTTTACCGCTGTGGGTGTCGAGGGAGATATAAGGTTCTGTTTCTAGCTCTTCTGGCTGCCTCGACCATAGGCACATGGTGCTGTTGTAGAGTTTCTCTGATGTTATCTTTCCATCTTGTTCTTGGTCTACCCCGTGCTCTACGTCCTTCTTCTCTTTCCATGTATGCTTTGTATGGTATGGTGTCACAAGGCATTCTCTCTAAGTGGGCAAACCATTTCATTTGCTGTCTTTGTATGTAATCCAGAATTGGTTCTGTGCCGACTTGTTCTCTTATGATCTCATTCCTGATCTTATCTCTTATGGTCACTCCTACAGCCCTTCTCAGACATCTCATTTCCGTGGTTACTAATTTTCTTTTATGGTTTGTTGTGAGTGACCATGTCTGGCACTGGTAGCACAGAGTTGGAATAGACTCACTGCCTACCCAAAAGCATGTCGTAGGAGTCGACTAATTGGGAGCTTCCTTCAGAGTCTAGAGTGCATCTGCCTGAGAGGCAAGGAACCAGCAGTCTGCATACAGATGAGTCAGATCTGTAAAAAGGATGCACACGCAACTCTCAGGATCTGGAATAGGGCTACAGTCCAGAAGTGGATGAACAACCAGAACTTTCTGCCAGAGTTTACAGCTGGTCAATGTGAAGAAAAAGATTAAACCATTGAATTCTTTGATATTCTATTCCCATTGACTTACTTTCCTAAAAACTGGGTTCTGTACCAGTCCCAGTGTTGTGAGACAGTTGACAGTGAGTAGCTGTCTTTCCACTGTCTTGCTTTTTCATATTTAGATGCTGTCATTCCACTGTCTTGCTGTCATAAATACTGGGTCCTGCGTCTGCTACCCTTTGTGTCATATTCAGATGCTGTCATTCCACTGTCTTGCTGTCATACATCCTGGGTCCTGTGTCTGCTACCCTTTGTGTCATATTCAGATGCTGTCATTCCACTGTCTTGCTGTCATAAATACTGGGTCCAGCATCTGTCCTGACAGGTGACAGTGCACAATAAATAACTGCATCCCACTGTCTTACTGTTATACTTATTAGTTACTACATAGGTCTCACTAGATGTCACACAGTTCACAATGAGCAACTGCCATTTCACTGTCTTACTGTTATACTTATTAGTTACTACATAGGTCTCACTGGATGTCACACAGTTCACAATGAGCAACTGCCATTTCACTGTCTTACTGTTATACTTATTAGTTACTACATAGGTCTCACTGGATGTCACACAGTTCACAATGAGCAACTGCCATTTCACTGTCTTACTGTTATACTTATTAGTTACTACATAGGTCTCACTGGATGTCACACAGTTCACAATGAGCAACTGCCATTTCACTGTCTTACTGTTATACTTATTAGTTACTACATAGGTCTCACTGGATGTCACACAGTTCACAATGAGCAACTGCCATTTCACTGTCTTACTGTTATACTTATTAGTTACTACATAGGTCTCACTGGATGTCACACAGTTCACAATGAGCAACTGCCATTTCACTGTCTTACTGTTATACTTATTAGTTACTACATAGGTCTCACTGGATGTCACACAGTTCACAATGAGCAACTGCCATTTCACTGTCTTACTGTTATACTTATTAGTTACTACATAGGTCTCACTGGATGTCACACAGTTCACAATGAGCAACTACCATTTCACTGTCTTACTGTTATACTTATTAGTTACTACATAGGTCTCACTGGATGTCACACAGTTCACAATGAGCAACTGCCATTTCACTGTCTTACTGTTATACTTATTAGTTACTACATAGGTCTCACTGGATGTCACACAGTTCACAATGAGCAACTGCCATCTCACTGTCTTACTGTTATACTTATTAGTTACTACATAGGTCTCACTGGATGTCACACAGTTCACAATGAGCAACTACCATTTCACTGTCTTACTGTTATACTTATTAGTTACTACATAGGTCTCACTGGATGTCACACAGTTCACAATGAGCAACTGCCATTTCACTGTCTTACTGTTATACTTATTAGTTACTACATAGGTCTCACTGGATGTCACACAGTTCACAATGAGCAACTGCCATTTCACTGTCTTACTGTTATACTTATTAGTTACTACATAGGTCTCACTGGATGTCACACAGTTCACAATGAGCAACTGCCATTTCACTGTCTTACTGTTATACATCAGTGCCACTGGATGTCACACAGTTCACAATGAGCAACTGCCATTTCACTGTCTTACTGTTATACTTATTAGTTACTACATAGGCCTCACTGGATGTCACACAGTTCACAATGAGCAACTGCCATTTCACTGTCTTACTGTTATACTTATTAGTTACTACATAGGTCTCACTGGATGTCACACAGTTCACAATGAGCAACTGCCATTTCACTGTCTTACTGTTATACATCAGTGCCACTGGATGTCGGACAGTATACACAGTGAGTAACTGTCATCTGGTGCGAATGCAGCCAGACGAAACTGCGTATGATATTTTTTTCATAGCAGAATATCTAGGAGGAAGGCGAGTGGAAGACCAAGAAAGCCATGGATAAATGGTGTAGCTGAAAGCTACTGGACAAAGGAGACATTCTGAACTGGACAAAGGAGACATTCTGAACTGGACAAAGGAGACATTCTGAACTGGACAAAGGAGACATTCTGAAAATCATTTATGAAAGAATGTTGATAGAATTCATGAGGTTAGAGGAAATAGTGAGTGAGTCAGTTAATCAACAGATTATCCTTATTACACATCCGATAAGTCCATTAGTGCTTGGATCCCATCTTCAGCATCTCCCACATGTGTTGCGACTGTTAACACCAGTTCTGTATTGGTTTACTATTCTTCTTTGGCTACCTGTATAGTGTTTATGTTTGGCGACACCTCTTTTGACCTGAAATTCTTGTAGTCATTTGAATGTTGCAGATTCAGCCTCATCTCCTGAATCATCTTCTCGTCTTGCCTTCTTGAGAGCATTGAGAATGTCAGCTAGGTCCATTGATTGTCCTGTACCTATCGTGGCCCTACCAGCAAGCCAGTCCACTTTTCATTCCTTCCTACCCCAGAGTGTGAGAGTGCTGGCTACCCCCAATCATTTACTTTGAATCCATGCTGTCTCTGTCTTCTTAAGCATGCTCATGTAATCACTTAGAAAGCACGCATGGGAAAACTGCTGTGTCTTTAGCCATATCATTGTTTTTGCTACCGCCACCACCTCCATAGTCAGACTACATGTAGAGGAAATAGCATGTTTAAGAATGTGTGAAGGAGGGATTAGGAGTGGAGCTGGGAAGGAGGGGAAAATAGGAGTGGAGCTGGGAAGGAGGGGGAAATAGGAGTGGAGCTGGGAAGGATTGGGAATTAGAAGTGGAGCTGGGAATTAGGGGGAAATAGAATTGGAGCTGGGAAGGAGGGGGAATTAGGAGTGGAGCTGGGAAGGAGGGGGAAATAGAAGTGGAGCTGGGAAGGAGGGGGAAATAGAATTGGAGCTGGGAAGGAGGGGGAAATAGAATTGGAGCTGGGAAGGAGGGGGAATTAGGAGTGGAGCTGGGAAGGAGGGGGAATTAGAAGTGGAGCTGGGAAGGAGGGGGAATTAGAAGTGGAGCTGGGAAGGAGGGGGAAATAGAAGTGGAGCTGGGAAGGAGGGGGAAATAGAAGTGGAGCTGGGAAGGAGGGGGAATTAGAAGTGGAGCTGGGAAGGAGGGGGAATTAGAAGTGGAGCTGGGAAGGAGGGGGAAATAGAAGTGGAGCTGGGAAGGAGGGGGAATTAGGAGTGGAGCTGTGAAGGAGGGGGAAATAGGAGTGGAGCTGGGAAGGAGGGGGAAATAGAATTGGAGCTGGGAAGGAGGGGGAAATAGAATCGGAGCTGGGAAGTAGGGGG